ATGTAAATTTAAAAAGGGGAACTTCTCAGATATTTTCCAAAGTAGATGTATAGATGGTCAAGAAACACATGAAATGTGTTGCTGTCCTCAGCCTTACAGAAGTCCAAGTCAGAACCACAGTGAGGATCAGTTCATGCATGTGGGGGTTTCATTTTTTTTTTTTTAAGTAACAAATACTGGCAAGAATGTAGAGAACTGGAGTCCTTACACATCACTGGTGGAAATGTAAAGTAGTTCAACCACAGTGAAAACGTTTGGCAACTTCTTAAACCATTAAACAGAATTAACCTGTGACCCTGTAGTTCTGCTCCTGAGTGTATACCCCAGATTGAAATGGTGAGCTGGGAGTGATGCTCAGTGGTAGAGCAGTTGTGTAGCATGCCTACGGCCCTAGGCTTGATGCCTCCATACTGGAGAGAGGAGAGCAAGGTAGGGAAGATGCTCCAGGATATATGTCACACATGTTAGTGGTAGTACTGTTATAGTCAAAAAGATAGAAAGCTTCAAAATTTCCATCATTGGGGGCTAGAGAGATGGCTCAGCGATTACGAGCACTGGCTGCTCTTGCAGAGGACCTGGTTCTGTTCCCAGAACCCACAGGGCAGTGAACAACCATCCCGTGATTCCAGTTCCAGGGGATTCAATGCTATCTGGCCTCCAAGGGCTTGTACACATGTAGTGTACCTACATACATGCAGGCAAAATACTCATACATGTAAAATAAAAATAGATAAAAAAATTTAAATGTCCATCAGTGGATAAATGGAGGGAGTGTGTGTGTGTGTGTTTTAACCATAAACATGAAGTACTGTTACATGCTGTAAAGTGGATAAGCTTTTAAAACTTTGTGCTGAGTGTATGCAGATGCAGTGGTCATGTATACTATTTATGGTTTCATTTACATGAAATACTCAGGATAGATAAATGCACAGAATCAGAAACCAAACTGAAAGTTGCTGAAAGGAAATGGGCAATATGGTACTGCCGCTTATCATAGAAAAAGAAATTAGAACTAAAGCAGGTTTTTGATTAGCTGGTCATATGATTGAGACCATTTTAAAATTTTAAATCAGTAAGTTACCTTCCTTGCCCAAGGTAAGATGAAGGAAAAATGAAAATGAACAGATATGTTATCATCAGATTGTTTTTGCCAGAGGCCAGAGGTTAACATCAGGGTAAGTTGTGACCCAGGGGCTGGAGAGATGGCTCAGTGGTTAAGAGCACTGACTGCTCTTGCAGAGGACCCGGTTCAATTCCCAGCACCAACATGAAGGCTATGAACCGATCTTAACTCCAGTTCCAGGGGAATCCGAAGCCCTCTTCTGACCTCCGTGGCATTTTATGACATGGGTGCACTCACATACATGTAGGCAATACACTCATACACATAAAATTAAAATAATAAATAAAAGAAAAAAAAGTGACCCATGAAGCTGGGTGTAGTGGTGCACACGTTTAATTCTAGTACTTGGGAGGCAGAGGCAGGTGAATCTCCATGAGAAAGAGGGCAGCCTGGTCTACATAATGAATTCCAGGCCAGCTGGGGCTACATAGTGAACCCCTGTCCCAAAAAATTTAAAAAAAGTATCCCATGAGCTTTTCCTTTTCTTATTTCTTATTTTATTTTATGTATATTAGTATTGCCTGCATGTAGCTGGGTGTACCCATGTTGTACAATGCCCAAGGAGGTCTGAAGAGGGCGTCAGATCCCCTGGAACTGGAGTTACAGACTGTTGTTGCCACCATGTGGGTGCTGAGAATTGAACCCAGGTCCTCTGCAAGAGCAGCTAATGCTCTTAACCACTGAGCCATCCTTCCAGCCCCTCTGCCTTTTTTTAAAATGTGTTTATGTGGTACGTGTAGAGGCCAGAAGATGTCAGGTATCCTGTTCTATCACTCTTCACCTTATTTCCTTGAAACAGAGTCTCTCATTGACCCTGGAACTAGACTGGAGGTCAGCAAGTCCAAATAATCCTATCCCTGACCCCAGCCCCCAGCTCTGGAATTACAGGTGTATGTAGCCATACTCAGCCTTTTCTGTAGGTGCTGGGATCCGAACTTAAATCAGCAAGTGCTCTGAGTCATCTCTCCACCTCCCCATTATCTTTTTCACATTAAATTCAGAATTTTCATCTTTATTAAATTTTATTATTTTTATTTTGTGTGTATGCATGTATTGCCTGCATGTAGGTAAGTGCACCCATGTCATGCAATACCTGTGGAGGTCAGAAGAGGCTGTCAGATCCCCTGGGACTGGAGTTACAGACAGTTGTTAGCTGCCATATGGGTGCTGGGATTCGAACCTGGGTCTTCTGCAAGAACAACCAGTGTTCTTAACTGCTGAGCCATCTCTCCAGCCCCCTCATCTTTAATCTTTTGATAAGGACAGAGCAGAATATTAATATTCATTAAGGATCTCAAACATAAGGTAGTAAAATTAAGAAACAACAAATTTACAGATTTGCTGAGAAAAGTTTCATGCCTTTGTTAAAAAGAGATCTACTTTTTTGTTGTTTTATCTATTATTTTTACTTTTTTATGTGTATGAGTGTATTGCCTGAATGTATGCGTGTGCACCCGTGTCGTTCAAATCCTATGCCACAGAGGTCAGAAGAAGGCTTCAGATTCCCCTGGAACTGGAGTTAAGGACAGTTCGTAGCCACCATGTGGGTGCTGAGAATCAAACCTGGGTCCTCTGCAAGAGCAGTCAGTGCTCTTAACCGCTAAGCCATCTCTCTGGCCCCAAGAGATATGTACTTTTAGAGTTAGAATTTCCCCAGAAAAGTGGGAGAAACTACTGCAATTAACTGAACTAATTAGTATGATTTGAATTCAGTGTAACTAAAAAAAGACACAAAACTTAATGCAAAATATGTCATGTGCATAAATTACAATTAAATTGCATATGGAATTTTTGTGTATATTAATTTTTAAACTAATGGCGACTGATTTTTCAGTACTATTCTACCAGTTTGACTTTAAGAAGATGAAGTTTTACCATATTAGAAAGGAAAATGGCCCATTCTTGCAGAATGATGTTAACCCAATTCTTTTATTCCAGATGATGAAAGCCATAAACAAGTCCAATGAACATGTCCTGGCAGGAGGAGCCTGCTTCAATGAGAAGGCAGACTCCCATCTTGTCTGTGTGCAAAATGATGATGGAAACTATCAGACCCAGGCCATCAGTATTCACAATCAGCCCAGGAAAGGTACGTGTTTGAGCTGGTAGAGATTTGTATCATGGAATGTTATTCTATTGTAAAGTTGGATAACTCAGACCCCTACCCCTTTCTAATTAATTAACCTTTCTAAGTGTGTGTGTGTGTGTGTGTGTGTGTGTGTGTGTAGTAAATTTCATATTGAATTTTCGTGTATTTTTAAAATTTATTATTTTTATTTTATGTGTATGAATGTATTGCCTGCATGTAAGTGAGTGTGCTTGTGTCATGCAATGCCATGGAAGTCAGAAGAGGGCTTCGGATTCCCCTGGAACTGGAGTTAAGGATGGTTCGTAGCTGCCATGTTGATTCTGGGAATCGAACCCAGGTCCTCTGCAAGAGCAGTCAGTGCTCTTAACTGCTGAGCCAGCTCTCCAACCCCCATTTTTGTATATTTTATACAGAACATCTTAATCATCTTTATACAACCTCCCCCACTGGTATGCTTCCATAGCCCTCCATCACAAACTGGAATTCATACATTCTGTCATTTGTGTTAGGGCCTATCATGTCAAGTTAGTGTTCCTAGATGTGCCTCAGTGCAAGTTCATCTGCTGAGGTCTAGTCAGCCTATCTAGAGTTCCTCCCTTTAAGAAGATCAGTTCTATAGCCAGGCGTGGTGGCGCATGCCTTTAATCCCAGCACTCAGGAGGCAGATGCAGGCAGAGCTCTGTGATTTCAAGGCCAGCCTGGTCTACATAGTGAGTTCCAGGACAGCTGGGGCTACAGAGAGACCCTGTCTCAAAAAGACCGAAAAAAAAAAAAAAAAAGATCAGCTCTTCCTCATCCAGCAGTAATCAGCTGCCAATAATTCTTCAACTAAGATTGGGGCCTGCTGTCCATTTCCACAGTTCTGTGCTGGGTTTTGTCTGCTTGATATTGCATGGTTCTTGTGTATGCTGACACCATTGCTGTAGGTTCATATGTTCAAGGTCCCAGGAGACTGTAGGACTCTATTTCCATAAGGTCATATACCTCCTCCTTGGCTTTTGTTATCTTTCTGCCCCCTCTTCTGCAATGGTCCCTGAGTCCTGGGTGGGTGGAATTTAATATAAGAGTTCTGTCCAAGGACCCACACTCTGCAGACTCTTATTCTCTACACTTTGGTCATTTGTGACCTTTTATGTTCCTGGCCCTCTGTGGCATGATGGAACTCCACTGATTGAATTGAGAAATACATTAGTGTTCTCTTTACCCCTTGTTCTACACTCTGTGAGCCTTAGGTGTGTAGGTTGCATTGTAGATGTGATACTTAGGCTTGGACAATTCACAGACTATGTCTGTGTGTGACCAGTTGTGGAACTCTCTAATAATCTCCATCTGTTGGAAAAGAAGCTTCTTTGATGAGTGGTGACTGAGATATTTGTCTCTAAATATAAGAATCCATATTTGGGGGGGTGCCATTTGGGATGTAGGTATACAGATGAATAAGATTGTTTGGGATGTTCTGTATGAAATACACAAAAAAATCAACAAAATTTTAAAAAAATGAGTTATATTTGAGGAAGAAACATAAAAATTTGTTCCATGTTAATTAGGAGAGGTGAAACTACCATTGAAATCTACCTGATGATTTTATATTCATACTCAGGTGGATCTCAGAAAGTTGCACATAGTAAGAAATTACATTTGTCTAGGGTTATGACAGTCTTGAGGTTTTCTCTAAAATCTATGACCTCTCCAGTCATGTGTATTTGACTATGTTTACAGTACCACACATGAGTTTCCTCCCATTGAGTGGGCTTTCAGTCTGATTAGGTAACTGTTAATTACCCCCAAGATAAAAGTGCCACTACTATACTTCCCTGGCAGGGGAGAGACTATGATCATGAAGGTGGTTTTCCCAAAGTGAGGCTTATCCATTGCCCTCCAGATGTGCTGACCCCTGAGAGTTCCCCAAATATGGGAAACTTGACTGCATAATTTGTGATTGTGGGGGACTGTGTTTGCATTCTCCCCTTAAAATAAAAAATAAAGAAAAAGTGCCACTACTCACCAGTGTCACTTGCTGTGCTAGTCATTAATGTGGTTATTAGGCCTTGTAGCTGGGGTTGGACCATCACTTGATGTTCTCCCTTAGCAGCTTGTGTAGTGCTCTCCAAAGCTATGAGAGCTAGTCTTCAGGGGAGGTGGCTTTCAGGTCAGTTCCAGCTCCATTGCTCCAAATCCTTGTCCAAAGTATGTCCCTGTCTTCAGCAATAGGGTCTTACCTTCAAGTTCTGGGAGGCAATCAAGGGCTGTGGCAATAGTCTGTGTAATTTTGGGAGTCTCCTGGACCACCCTGGCCAACAACTCAAAGGAAGGTTTCTCCTCTCTGGCACTGTTTCTTGTTATGTAGCCTTCAGCTATACACATGGGCTCATGTAGAGATATTGTATGTGTAATTTTTCAGTAGGTTTTGGGACTAATACAATTCCCTCTGGTTTCTTACACTGGCTAGGTATTATTTATCTCTCCTCTCTCTCCCCCTGTCTAACCCTCCCTCCACGCCCTCCCCATTTAAAGTATCCCCATTTTCCCCATTTCTCTCTCGATAATTCTTGTCTCCTACAGTCCCATCTCTTTTGAGTTCCTTCTTCTCCTTCATCCCCATAGTTCCTTGTATAACCCTTCCCTCTCCCCCTCCCATTTAAATACCCCCATTTTACCCATTTCTCCCTTAGTAACACTTGTCTCCTACTGTTCTTCTCTCTCAGGTTCCTTCTTTCCCTTTACTTTCCTGATTCCTTTCCATTCTCCAGGTTCCTGCAGTTGCATCAGGATATATTCTCACATATAAGAATTTGGTGCTAGGAACCACAAATGAGGGAGAACATACGTCATTTGTTTTTGAGTCTGTGTTACTTCACTTAGTATAACAATTTCTAGTTCCATCCATTTACTACCATGGGGAGGAATGAATCAGGTTCTCTCAAGGCAATTGGATTATTATCACTCCCCAAGTAGTTGCCTTTCAGTTTTGAGTCTTCAGTTACAAATAGGCTTTCTGTTATTGAGAAAAACATTTTAAAGATTTATTTTTACTTTTAGATTTTTAAAAAATCATGTGTATTTGTGTGTGTGTGCTTGTATGATTTTATATGCCTCACATGCATGCAGGTGCCCACAAGAGGGCAGAGGGTATTGGACCCTCTGGAGGTGGGGTCATGGGCAATTGTGAGCATATACCATAAACAAATCCATATACATAATTAAAATAATAAAATCGTGGCTGGAGAAATGAATCAGTGCTTCAGAGCATGCACTGCTCTTGCAGAGGACCTGAGTTCAGTTCCCAGCACCCACTTGGGATAGTTGTGAACTATTTGTAACTCCAGCTTCAGGGGGATCAAATGTCTCTGGCCTCCAGAAGCACCTGCTGTCTCATGCACATACCCCACACCCATAATTAAATATAATAAAAATAAATCTTTTTTTTTTTAAAAAAAAAGCTATCAGGGTTGGAGAGATGGCTCCGCAGTTAAGAACACTGGTTGTTCTTGCAGAAGACCCGAGTTCAAATCCCAGCACCTACATGGCAGCTAACAACTGTAATTCCAGTTTCATGGTGACTCCAGTTCCAGGGGATCTGACAGCCTCTTCTGTCCTCAGAGGGCTTTGCACTTACATACGTGCAAACAATGTACTCATACACATAAAATAAAAATAATAAATAAAATAAAATTTAAAAAGAGCTTTAAAAAAAAAAGCTGTCTTAGGGCCAACATGGGTATCTGAAGGTGAGAGCAGACCCTATATTGAGAATGTGTGCAGGTAAATTTGGAGCTCATGGATGATCATACTCAAAGAATGCAAATGAAGACATTGGCCTATATCAGTCTGGAGGAAGACACTAAGGTTCAGTGCCACTCAGAATGAGTACTTGCAAACCTGCTCATTAGATGAGTCCACTCACTAGAATTTTTAAAGATCCTTGAGTGATTCAAACACACATTAGAGTTTGGAAAAATCTTTCTCAGATGGCATTACCAAAACAGAATGGTAAATTGTGTTTTAAAACTTTCACAGAGCTATCATCAGCATTGGAACTAATTCGTTAGTTGTTCATTGTCATATTTTATTTTCTGTATGATGATGCCTAGAATTTCCAACTAATATTTTATTATTGTTCCCAATGCCCTAGCTCAGTAGTCTGTCTTCACCAACCTATTTACATATCTGTTGTAGTGACTGGTGCCAGTTTCTTTGTGTTCAGCGGCGCTCTGAAGTCCTCTTCAGGATATCTTGCGAAGTCCAGTATTGTGGAAGGTAAAGGATGAATTGTTTATTCCATGTGCCTCAGTTTAATCCTAATTATACAAGGAAAGCAAGGGACATTAAGAGAAGCCTTGAAGCCTTAAAGGTGTGGTGGCACAGGCCTTTAATTCCAGCACTTGGAAGGCAGAGGCAGGCAGATCTCAAGGCCAGCCTGGTCTATATAGTGAATTCCAGGGTAGCTGTCTCAAAAATACAGAGAGAGAGAGAGGAGAGAGAGAGAGAGGGAGAGAGAGAGAGAGAGAGAGAGAGAGAGAGAGAGAGAGAGAGACAGAGACAGAGAGAGAGACAGAGAGACAGAGACAGACAGAGACAGAGACAGAGGAGAGAGGAGAGAGAGAAGAAGAGAGAGGGAAATGTTTGCCTGGCATCCACAAAGCCTTGGATTTGATCAACAGCACTGCAAAAACAGGATATGGTTGGTGTACACTATAATCCCAGAATTTGGGAGTGGAGGCAGGAGGATCGGGGTTCAAATTGATCCTTGGCTACTTTCTAAGAGTTCAAGGCCATCCTGGGCTACATGAGACCTTGTGTTAAAAATTTTTTAAAAGATGGCATGATACTTCTTTTTTTGACCCCCATTTTTTTATTCAGAGACATGTCATTTTTTAGCATGTCATGGGAGCTGGACATGGTGGTACATGCTTATAGTCCCAACCACTTGCGAGGCTGAGGCAGGAAGATCACTGGAACCCAAGAGTTCCACACCAGTCTAAGCAACTTAGCAAGACAAAAAATAAGCAAACAAACCAAAAATATATCTAACATAGAGCTGGGGGTGGTAGTGTACCCTTTTAGTCCTAGCACTCAGGAGACAAAGACAGGTGGATCTCTGTGAGATTGAGGCCAGCCTGGTCTACATAGTAAGTTACAGGCCAGCTGGGGCTACAAGGAGACCTTGTCTCTAATCCTAACAATTGGGATGCAGAGGCAGGTGGATCTCTGTGAGTTCAAGGCCAGCCTGGTCTACATAGTGAGTTCCAGGACAGCTGGGGCTACAGGGAGACCCTGTCTCAAAAAGATTAAAAAAAAAGACTTTTAAAAAAAAATGGGCTGGAGGGATAGCTCAGAGGTTAAGAGCACTGGCTGCTCTTGCAGAGGACCTGGGTTTGATTCCCAGCATCCACATGGTAGCTAGCAGTTGTCCTTAATTCTAGTTCCAGAGGCATCCAACACCCTCTTCTGACCTCCACAGGCATTGCTTGCAGGCAATACACTCATACACATAAAATAATAAATATTTTTTAAAAAAATACCCCAAAAATCCCAAAATGAAACAAACCAAATCCTGACATGGAAGTCCCTATTCTCCAAAGAAGGGAGATACCCTGGGCACTGATAAATATAAGAAATAGCCATTCACAGTTCTGGAATAAGATGCCTGCGGGGTTATAGTGTGTGCTCAAATATATCATTAGATGTAAATATGCACATGATAGATTAATTCACTCCCATCCACTAGAATACTGTCATTATTTTTTGCCTCTGCCTCTGGAGTGCTGGGATTAAAGGTGTGTGCCACCATACCTGGCCTTAGTACTGTCATTATTATCTGAAATACAGAATAAAATGTGTTTGCTCTGGGTTGCTGTAATTAGACATGACACAAACACTGACAGAGGTTAATTAAGTAATGTGAAAGGCTGGCCATCACACTGTTTGGTCTGGTTATTCTTGTTGCGTTACAAATTACCCCAAAATCTGATGGCCCAAAGAAGTTCTCTTACTGTGCTTCCTGACCCCACTGCCTAAGGAATCATAGTAGAGAATTACTGGGACAGACAACTTGACTCTGCTCCATGACATTTGATGGTGTTAGTTGGGATGCATTAAAGGCAAGGGGTTATTTGAAGGTAACAAGATAGACTTAACTGAAGATTTATGCACGTGTATAGTCTGGGGCATGGAATGATTTGGAGACTAGGGGTGATGACCAGAATACTTAAACGTGGACCCGTCATCCTTAGGACTCCCTTCTTGGTGACTCCAGGACTCCAAGCACAAGTGTTCCAGCAACAAAGGAGGAGCTGCATTGCCTTTTATGACCCAGACTCAAAAGTCACATAATGTCCCCTCACAGGACTCTAGTGTCAGCAGAAGGGGAATGAAAAAGTAGTCATGTATCACAGGAACTGTTGCCACCTTTCCATAATAATTGCTTAGTATGACAGTGGGTTTTGTTTTTTTCCAACATTGCAGTCGAATTATATTGTTATAGCTTTTGTTGTTTGTTTTTATTTTTTTTGTTTATTTTGTTTTGTTTTTGAGAACTAACATTGTAGCTCTGGGTAGCCTAGAACTAGGATTCAACTTACTATCTAGAATCCAGGCTAACATCCTCCAACTTCTAGAGATTCACCTGCCTGTATCCTGAATTCTGGAATTAAAGGCATGCACTGCTATACCTGGCCACATTGCTATAGTTTTAAATAGAAACAAAAGCAGTTCAATATTGATGCCACTGAATGACATTTTAATGCTTAATGTAAAAAACAGATTATTACCAAGAGCATGTGTATTATAATAAGTAAAGCAGGTTCTATTAGTGTCTTTTTTTTTTTTTTTTTTTTTTGGTCTTTTTGAGACAGTGTCTCCCTGTAGCCTCAGCTGTCCTGGAACTCACTATGTAGACCAGGCTGGCCTTGAACTCACAGAGATCTGCCTGCCTCTGCCTCCTGTGTGCTGGGATTAAAGGCAGGTGCCACCACACCTGGCAATATATATTTTTTTAAATTTTGTGTATGAGTATTATGCCTGCATGTTGGAAGTGCACCCATGTTATACAATGCCCGAGGAGGACAGAAGAGGCTGTCAGATCCCCTGGAACTGGAGTTACAGACAGTTGTTAGCTGCCATGTGGGTGCTGGGATTCAAACCTGGGTCTTCTGCAAGAACAACCAGTATTCTTAACTGCTGAGCCATCTCTCCAGCCCCTAGTGTCTTAAAATGTAGCAAATAATCCTACTCCAGGTAACTTCAAGCTTGAGAAAAATATTTACAGCACTTTTAAAATTTTTTCCTCTGTCAATAATTGCAGCATAGCAAGTTAAAACTCCAACAAAATGAAACTTTCTTTTTTTTGAGGTAGGGTCTCATGTCTCATGTAGCTAAGGTTTGCCTTAAACTCACTATGTAGCCAAACCTTGGACCCGTGGTCTTCTTCCTCCTGAGTACAGAGATTACAGGCCCACACCACCATACCCAGGACATGCATTGCTTGGGGTTAAACCCAGGGCCTCTTACATGCTAGGCAAGCATTCTATGACTATCCAATCACATTTTACTCTTTTTTTTTAATTAGTTTTTTTTCTTTTTTCGGGTCTTTTTGAGACACAGTCTCCCTGTAGCCCCAACTGACCTGGAACACGCCTTGAACTCACAGAGATCCGCCTGCTTGGCCTCCCAAGTGCACCACCACGCCTAGCCATATGTTTTATTTTTGAGCAGCTTAGATAAGACACAACTTGAGTTCAGTTTTGCTTTTGATAGGTATTTTATGTCCCCACCCAGGGGAACTTTTTAGATTATTTTATCATTATTACCATCATTATTATTATTGTTATTATTATTATTTGTTGTTGTTGTTGCTGCTGCTGTTGTTTTGAGACAGTGTCTCCCTGTAACTCCAACTGGCTTGGAACTTGCTATGTTGCAAGACCTTGTCCCTTAGCCTCCCAAGTGCTGGAATTATAGATATGTGCTACCAGGCCTAGCTGATAGATTTTCATTTTAGCTTACTCCTGGGAAATGACTCAGTGGGTAAAGGCACTTGCCACCAAGCCTGATGACCTGAGTTCTATGCTTGGAACCCCAAGGAAGGAAGTGATTCCTGAAAGTTTTCCTGTGACCTCCACATTCGTGCATTGGCATACGTGGACCCACCAAATACATAAACAAATAAATGTAGTTAAAAGCATTCCTTTCTTGGGGCTGGAGCGATGGCTCAGCAGTTAAGAACACTGACTGTTCTTGCAAAAGACCCAGGTTCAAATGCCAGCACCCACATGGCAGCTAACAACTGTCCGTAACTCCAGTTCCAGGGGATCCGACAGCCTCTTCTGTCTTCCATGGGCATTGCACGACACGGGTGCAGGCAATACACACATACACACACAAAAAAAGCATTCCTTTCTGAAGGATTGGTTCTGGTGCGTTAATGGAAGTCCATAAATAATTTTACATATATGTATACATACTGGCTTTGATCTTTTTTGGTAAGTTTAGTGAAGTACAGCACACACTAATATTTTACAGTGAAATCTCACAACCCTAAGTACAAAGCAAAACAGTGCTCTTGAGAAATGTTTGGGAGGCCTGGTATGGTAGCATATGCCTCTATTGCCAACAATTAGGAAGCAGAGGCAGGCAGATCTCTGTGAGATGGAGGCTAGCCTGATTTACATAGAAGACCAGCAGGGGCTACAGGGAGACCTTGTCTAAAAAAACAACAAAAAGAAGAAAAAAGAAATGGCTGGGGCTAAGCATTAGTGGCGCATGCCTTTAATCTCAGCCATCAGGAGGCAGAGGCAGAGATATCTCTGTGAGTTCAAGGCCAGCCTAGTCTACATAGCAAGTTCCAGTGCAGCTAGGGCTACAGGGAGACCCCATCTCAAAAAACTAAAAAAAAGAAAGGAAAGAAGAAAGAAGGGAGGCAGGGAGGAAGGGAGGGAGGATTGATTAGGGGAGAGGGGCTAGAGAGCTGGTTCAGTAGTTAAGAGTGCTTGCTTTTTTTCTGGAGGAGCTGAGCTTGGTTCCCAGCATTCACAGCAAATGGCTTCCAACTACCTGCAACTCAAGCTCCAGGGATCTGACGTCCTCTTCTGGCCTCCACTGGCACTGGACTCACATACACAAACTCACACCACACAGACACAAAAGTATACACATAATTGAAATATTAATAACACAATTTTATTTTTTTTAATTTTTTTTATTTTATGTGTATGCATGTATTGCCTGCATGTAGGTAAGTGCACCCGTGTTGTGCAATGCCCATGGAAGACAGAAGAGGCTGTCGGATCCCCTGGAACTGGAGTTACAGACAGTTGTTTAGCTGCCGTGTGGGTGCTGGGATTCGAACCCGGGTCTTAACTGCTGAGCCATCTCTCCAGCCCCATAACTCAATTTTTTTTTTTCTTTTTGAGACAGGTCTCCCTGTAGCCCCAGCTGTCCTGGAACTCACTAGTGCTCGCTTTGACAACATGTATACTGAAATTGGAACAATGCAGAGATCAGTGTGGACCCTGCACAAGATGAAATGCAAATTTATGAAGTGTACCTTTTTTTTTTTTCCCGTCTTTTTGAGACAGAGTCTCCCTGTAGCCCCAGCTGTCCTGGAATTCACTATGTAGACCAGGCTGGCCTTGAACTCACAGAGATCCACCTGCCTCTGCCTCCTGAGTGCTGGGATTAAAGGTGTGTACCACCACGCCTGGCTAAAGTGTTCCTTTTTATCTGGAGTCAAAGAAAGAAAGAAAAGGACTGGAGAGATGTCTCAGTGCTTAAGAGCACTGGTTGTTCAGTTCCCAGCACCCACATGACAACTAACAACTGTCCACAATTCCAATTTCAGGGTATCTGATGCCCTCTTCTGGCCTCTGCAGGTACTGCATGCATGTGGTGCCCTTACATACATGTAGGCAAACACTCATACACATAAAATAATTCTTTTGGAAGGATTAGGGAGGGAGGAAGGGAGGGAGGAAAGAAGGAAGGAAGGAAAAAATTGTAGAAGGAGATTATCTTCTGACCTCCACATACATACACACTGTGGCACATGTGCCCACACACATCATATACACATACACAGTAATAATAATAATAATAATAATAATAATAATAATATATAATAATAAAATTAAGTTAAAAAAAGGAAATTGTGGGGACTGGAGAGATGTCTCTTCAGTTAAGAGCACTTGCTCTTCCAGAGAGCCCAGTTTGATTCTCAGCACCCACATGGTAACTAGCACCTGTCTTTAACTCTAGCTCCAGGCATCTGATGACTTCCCTTCTTTCCTTCTTAAGTTTTTTTTTTTTTTTTTTTAATCTTTTTGAGACACAGTCTCCTTGTAGCCCCAGCTGTCCTGGAACTCACTATGTAAACCAGGCTGGCCTCGAACTCACAAATCTCTGCCTGCCTCTGCCTCCCAAGTGCTGGGATTAAAGGCATGTGCCACCATGCCTGGCCCTGTAATTTTTTTTTTAAATGTTAAGATTTTGGAAACAGTGACAAGTGCCTATAGATTCCAGCTACTCAGGAAGTTGAAATACCGAAATCAATTTAGTTCAAGGCCAGCATCTACAACATAGCAGACTCAACCAAAAAAGGAAGAAATCTAAGAGTTAATCTCTGTCAATCTGAAGTGACTAATATATTGTTAAATATAGAGTATTGGTGAAATTGTGTCTTTGCAAGATGGATTTTAAAAATCTTTTAAGGGACCACAGAGATGGCTCAGTAGTTAAGAGCACTGGCTGCTCTTGCAGAAGACCCAGGTATACATAAAAATAAAAATAAAAAAATCCAGGACTAGATAGATGGCTTAGAGGTTTAGAGCACTGGCTGCTCTTGCAGAGAACCCGGGTTCAAATCCCAGCACCCACATGGTGGCTAAAACTGTAACTCCAATTCCAAGGGATCCAACACCCTCTTCTGACCTCCACAGGCATTGCACGTACATACAAGCAGGCAACACACTCATACAAATAAATAAATAAGTAAATGAATAATTCAACCAAAGTTAAATAATCTTTTAAATGCTTACTTACATACATGAAGGCAATACACTCATACATGTAAAATGAAAACTAATGAATAAAATATTTTAAAAGGGGGGCTGGAGAGATAAATCACTCAGCAGTTAAGAGCACTGATTGCTTTTGCAGAAGACCCGAGTTTTGATTCCCGGCACCTACATGGCGACTACAAACCGTCCTTAACTCCAGTTCCAGGGGAATCCGAAGCCCTCTTCTGACGTCTGAGGCATTGCACGACATGGGTGCACTCACATACATGCAGGCAATACACTCATGCACATAAAATGAACAATAATAAAATATTTTTTAATCTTTTAAATGTAGTTAAAATTATCAACTGAATTGATACCAATTCTTACAATTGCAAAGCAGTGTGTTTAAATTTTTTGTGTTGGGACCAGCAAAGCAAGGTGAGAACCAACTCCTTCTGTAAGTTGTCCTCTGATCTCCACATATATCCTGCTCCACACATTAACCAATAAATAAATGGCTTTGTTGTTGTTTTGGGTTTGTTGTTGTTGTTTTGACAGGGTCTCTGTAGTCCCAGCCCCCCTAGAAGTCAACTATGTAGATCAGGCTGGCCTCATCTCATAGAGATCCATCTGCTTCTGCCTACCAAGGGCTAAGATGCACAACCACATCCAGTGTGTAAATAACTAGAAAAAAAAATGTTTTTTTGTTTGTTTGTTTGTTTGTTTGTTTTTGTGACAGGGCCTCTCTGTAGTCCCTAGCTGACCTGGAACTTACCATGTAGACCAGGCTGACCTTGAACTCACAGAGATCCACCTGCCTTTGCCTCTCAAATGCTGGGATTAAAGGCGTGCCTGGAAAAAATGTTTGAAGGAAATATTTTATGACAAAGTATGTGGCCACAAAACAGAATAAATGCTGGGCATATGACTAGTTTTACTCTTAAAAGTGCTTTCCTTTGACTCAAGTATGTGGTACTGAAACATAGTTCCCCGTCTTTTCGCCAAAGCTGTGGTCGGACTGCTCACTGCTGACCCCTACCTGGATTTAGTCCCAAGCCTACTACTGGCATTAGCCAGTAATTTTTGTTTGTCTGCTTAGTGTTTCTTTGTTTGCTTTTATGTTGTTTTTTTGAGACAGGGTCTCACTATGTAGCCCAGATGGCCTGGAACTCTATGTAGACCAGGCTGGACTCAAACTCAGAGAAGATCTACCTGCCTCTGCTTTTCAGGTGCTGAGATTAAAGGTATATGCCACCACACCCAACTGTGTCTGTATTTTGAGACAGGATCTCACTTTGTATCCCTGGCACGGACCTGGCTGGCCTTGAACCAACAGAGATCCACATGTCTTGGCTTCCCAAGTGCTGGGATTACATATGTGTACCATCATTCCCAGTTTACTCAGTAAATTTTAAACATCTACGGGGCATTCATTATATGCCAGGCAGTCATAGTAAGAAGTTACGACAGAGAAGCCGACAGATAAACATGATCAGAGCATGGTGAAAGCAAGAGGAATAGGAACAGAATGCTCTGAGAGTCCAGAAGAGCAATGTGACCATGTCCAAGTTTCCCTTTGAGCAATCTCAGAAGAAACGCTTAACGGGCTTTGAGGGAAGTCAGCAGTGTCTGAAGCAGAGTACATCTTGGCATTTGCTCTCACAGTTATTTAAGAGATTAAGCTCAGGAAAGAAAACCTCTTTGTGTCTGTCACCTTTGCAGAGCAGAGAAAAGCTTATATTTAGTACCAGAGTATTCACAAGATGCCAGGCACCGTGCCTCATCTGCCTCCCTCCCTGCTTTGCGCTGTTTCCATCTCTATTATCTTGATGCTGATTCTTAGATGGTGTGATGGTCCAGATCACTGCAGAGAACATGGATTCCTTGAGGCAGGCACTTCGAGAGATGAAGGACTTCGCCATCACCTGTGGGAAGGCAGATGCTGAGGATTCCCAGGAGCATATCCACATCCAATGGGTAGATGACGACAAGAATGTTAACAAGGGGTAAATGCAGTCCCTTCCCCTCCATGGCACTAGGGATCTGCTCTGGGCTTTGTCTGCTGTCCACACTGGTGTTTTAGGGTTTTACTGAAAACCTGCCCAAGAACAAGGATGATTTAACACAGAATTTGAATTTCTAGTTTCTCACTTAATTTCTAAAGGATTTTCTGTATGTGTTTTGAGGGAAAGGTATGGGTGATGAAACAAAACGGACTTAAAAGTTCCTGAGAGGGAGCTGGGGATTGCTCAGTGGTTAAGAACAGTGCTCCTACAGAGGACCCCACTTGGATCCCAGCACTGTCTGAAACTTCAGTTCCAAGGGCTCTGATGCCCTCTTCTGGCCTCTGCATGCATGGGTGCACTTATATACATGCAGGTGAAACACTCATACGTGGGAATTTTTTAAAATCTTTTTTTATTTTTAAATATTTTATTATCTTTATGTGCATGAGTATATTGTCTGCATATATGTAAGTGCACCTATGTCATGCAATGCCAATGGAGGTCAGAAGAGAGCATTGGATTCCCTTGGAACTGGGGTTTCAGACAGTTGTTAGCCACCATGTGGGCTGAGAATCAAACCCAGATCCTCTGTAAGAGCATCCTTATTTAAGAGGCTGGAGGAATGGCTCAGCGGTCAAGAGCACTGGCTGCTCTCGCAGAGGACCCTAGTTCAAATCCCAGGGGATATGACACCCTCTTCTGACCTCCACGGGCATTACATGATACGGGTGTACTTATATACATCAGGCAATACACTCATACACATAAAAATAATTAAAATATTTTTTAAAGAATTTAAGTAAAAATAAGGTTACTGAGTGATAGAAATACCAAACCTTTATGACTTTAAAGCTTTTTTTTTTCTTCTAATGTTCTATTTGATATAATAGATGTCATTTTTCCTATTTCACTTGAATAAGCTAAGCAAGTACCCAAATGCTATTGACTTATTAGGTCATAGAACTAGGATGTGGCATAACTCCAGCTTAAAACAATCTCCCTGGATTTCAGGTCCTATACTTGTTCTTACCATGTGGCAGCTCTGTCTGAACAGTTACACCAAAACCTTGGACTCTTTTGTCACTTTTCTTTCTCTCCTACCCCACAGTCAGTCCAACAGTAAAACCTGTTTGTTCTTCAGAATTTATCCCACATCATGTTGGGTTGAATTCACCCCCTACCCTGCCAGCCCCCTGGTTTAAACCAGCATCTCATTTAGTCTGGATGGTTGAAGGGTCTTTTCACTCCCCTGATCTGTCTCCAGTTTTAAGATAACTGCTAGAGTAATGTCACTTTTCTGCTCAAACCCACCAGTGGTATCTAATGTCTTTCAAGATAAAGTTCAAAGACATTTATCACCTCTAAGGCCCTACTTTTGTTGCTGTTTTGAGACACGGTCTCACTTTGTAGCCTAGGCTGGCCTAGGATTCACTATGTGGTTCAAATTGGCCTCATCTCAGGGCAGTCCTTCAGTGTGCCTTCTTACCTGACACCAGTGTGCTTCTACCCAGACCTCTTGCGCTTGCTGCTTTCAGTTTACCCTCTTCCCTAGATGCCATGTGAACTGCTCTCTCACCTTCTTAGATCTTTCCCAGTGTCACTTTCTCAGTAAGGTCTTCTCTGGCCAACCTGTATTTTAACCCTGTCATGCATATCTCTCTCTTCTACTTCCAGTACTTCCTGTTCCCACTTCCCAAGTTGATTTTTCTCTCTCTCTTTAAAAAACATTTTTATTATATTTATTTATTTATTTGGGGGAGGGGGCATGCCATGGCACACATGTGCAGGTCAGCAGACAGCTTTGTGGAGTCAGCTCTGTCCTCCTTTTATGTGGTACTGGTGATCTAACTGGGTCACTATGCTTCCATAGCAAGCACCTTTACCTGAAGAACCATCTTGTTGACCCCTAATTTAACTTTTGGTAAATAAAGAATCAAGAACATAAACAGGTTTTAAAAATTTGTTTTAATTTTATGTGTATGAGTATATTGCCTGCATGTATGTAAGTGCACCCATGTCATGCATTGCCCACGGAGGTCAGAAGAGGATGTCAGATCCCCTGGAACTGGAGTTATGGACAGTTAGCTGCCCTGTGTGTGCTGGGAACTGAACCTAGAGCCTCTATAAGAGTAGCCAGTGCTCTTAACCGCTGAGCCATCTCTCCAGCCCCAAGAACATAAACAGGTTTAACCATTGTTGAGAAGAATCTAGAATCTCTGTACCAATCATTTTGTGCCCTTTCAGAATGATTGTGTTTCTTTCCATATTTACTTGCTGTATTTTAGGGAAGAAATGACTCTCAAAAGTGACTATTCATACTGAATGTGGTGGTGCATGCCTTTAATCCCAGCACTCTGGAGGCAGAGGCAGGCTTATCTCTGAGAGATCAAGGCCAGCCTGGTCTACATAGTAAGTTCCAGGCCAGCTGGGGCGACAGGGAAGCTCTGTCTTAAAAACAACAAAAAAGTAACTTTTTCTGCTTAGAAATCTAGGAGTGATAACTTAGCACTGAAGGGAATTTGTTATGATGGATCCTGGCTTATCCCTTCTCATTAGCACTTGGAATTATTTATCTGTTTATGTCATTAGGCAAACTTTCTATTCCAAACTTAAGTAGTTGTTAGTAAATAGTCATTAACCTTCCCATGTTCCAAGCAGTGGGTCAGTACTAGATATGAGCACAGAGGTGATGGGATTAGACTGCCTCCCTGCAGAAGTTCATTCTTAATGCAGATACGCAAACCTGTGAAGTGTCACATGGTGAATGTTCTAGAGATGAGAGGAGAGCAAGAAACAAACAAGGAAATGTGTACTTGAATTGATTCAGTGCATAGGCCCTTTCCATGAGAACTCTGCACATGTAATTTTGTAAAGTGGCTTCATGGCGTGATACACTGCACATGTGATGAGGACATCCAGTGTCATTAGCAATAAATTTGACAAGATCTCTCTCCTTCCCTTTCCCATTATAGAGTCGTAAGTCCAATAGATGGGAAGTCCATGGAGTCTATAACAAACGTGAAGATATTCCATGGATCAGAATATAAAGCAAATGGAAAAGTCATCAGATGGACAGAGGTAAGGGAATGAAAAGTGGCCAGCTTTCAACACAGCTTTTTGCTAGGCCAAGAGACTCTCTGGGCTATTTCTGAAAGAAAAAAGTTGGGCTAGCAAGATGGATCAGTGGGTAAAAAAAGGTATTTACTGCCAAGCCTGATGACCTGAGTTTGATCCCCAGGACCCACATGGTAGAAGGAGGGAACCAATCCTAACCTCCTAACATGCTCTGTGGCATGTGTGTGAACACACAGACACAAACACACACACAAATAAATAAATGTAAAAAAAAATTAAAAGGAAAAAGTCTCCCAGGGGGAAAAAACTTCATCTACCTATTGTAATCTAATTTCTTCTGATCTGTGTTAGATCAGTGGGCAAGCACATCACCAAGTGCAGCCTGCAGCACACATCCTCCTCCTGTGAATTTTATTTGCATTGAAATTCAAGAAGGATATATCTCTTGAGTGGGGGATACCGTCTTTGTTGTGTTCAGAAAGCCGACTCTGCCATGCTGTACTTGAAGTTAAATCTCTCTTGGATAACATGATCTTTAAAAGGTAGACATTTCACAATAAGAAAAGTAAATTTCAAAGAGTAAGTAATTTGTTAAAAACTAGAAAGTAGGCTGGGTGAGGTGGCACATGCCTTGAGACTGGGATGGATCTCTGAGTTTTCAAGGCCAGCCTGATAACATAAAAGGGCCAGTCAGGTCTACATAGTGAGACCCTGTCACCCCCCACCCCCCAAAAAAAGTCTAATTCCAAGGCAAACAAGTAATAATAGTAAGTTCCCAATTCAGAGCCAGATCTGGCCAACTCTTAAGCTACTAGCCAGATGCGCTAGCACACACCTGTAATCCCAGTACTTGGGAGGTTGAGACAGGGAAATCACAAATTTGAGGGCAGCCTGGGCTGCCAAGATCCTGCATCAATTACAAAAGAAACAAAACAACAACAACAAAAAAACCCAAAGAACTATTGCTCTGTAACATGCAGACCATATTACAGGTTCATTTGGGAGATGAGCAGGCAGGGCCCTGTTTGTGTGTTCGTTATCTTGTAAATCAGGAAGTTTCTTTTCAGAATAAAAAGGTAGATTCTAAGCCTCCTCATCGCTTTTGAGCTTCATTTATATTCAACTATAAAATAAGGGGTTGAATTATAAGATCTCTAAGGTTATTTTCAGGTTGAAGTCTTTTTGTTTTTTATATTTTATATTATTTTATGTGTGTGTATTGCCTGTGTGTAGGTAAGTGCACCCGTGTCGTGCAATGCCTGAGGACAGAAGAGGCTGTCAGATCCCCTGGAACTGGAGTTATAGACAGTTGTTAGCTGCCATGTGGGTGCTGGGATTTGAACCCGGGTCTTCTGCAAGAACAGCCAGTGTTCTTAACCGCTGAGCCATCTCTCCAGCCCCTGAAGTCTTAATTAAAAAAAAAAAAAATTCTAAAAAGTCGGGCATGGTGGCACATGCCTTTAAGAAGGCAGAGGGTGGTGGATCTCTGTAAGAATGAGACTAGTCTGGTTTACATAGTGAGTCCAGGCCAGCTGGGGCTACCCTGTCTCAAAAACAAAAACAAACAAAATTCTGGGCGTTGTAGTGATGGCTTGGCGGTTAAGAGCACTTGGCTATTCTTTCAGAGTACCCGAGTTCAATTCCTGAACTCACATCAGGTGGCTCACAGCCGCTTGTAACTCCAGATTAAGGGGATTTTCCAGATCCAGGGAATCTTCCAGATTCAACCCTCTTCTGGTCTCTGTGGGCACCCTTACATATATGGCATACATATATACAGACACAGACACAGAGACACACACACACACACACACACAACTAAATTAGTAATAATATAAATCAATTTTTAAAAATCTAGAACTTCTGGCTTTTCTATTTCAGGGATAAGAAACTGGGGCCAAGAGAGTTTAAGTCTTACTTGGATAATTTTTTAAATTTTTATTTATTATATTATTATCATTGAGGAGGAGTGACATGCTACGGTTCACATGTGGAGGTCAGAGGACAACTTTCAGGAGTTGACCTCTCCTTGCACCACGGGTTCCAGGGATGGAACTCAAGTTATCAGGCTTGCACAGCAAGCACCTTTACCCGCTGAGCCTTCATGCCAGGCCCTCAGAACTGATTTTTAACAGGACGAGGACCAGGCCCTGGCTTTCCAGGTCTCAGGCTGTTGTTTTAGTGGCTCATCTTTCATACAAAGCTCATGTTTTCACATGCACTCAGGGGTTTTTAGCTACTTGCCTCATAATAATAATCATCCCTTTAACACATTCAACAGCATAGATTCTAGAATGTCTAAAACTTTTTTTTAATTGGTGTCTTTCTTAAAGATTTATTTTTCATTATGTTTATGCATGTGTGTCTGTATAGGGGTAGGTGTAGACGAGTGCAGGTGTCCACAGAGGCCAGAAGCATGGCCTCCCCTGGTGTTAGTTATAGGCAGTTGTGAGCTACCCTGTGTATGGGTGCTGGGAACTGAACTCAGGTTCTTTGCAAGAACAGTATGCACTGTCAACCACTGAGCCATCTCTCCAGTCTGTGTGTAAAACTCTTTGTAGTTTATAAATTACTTCTGTTTCCGCCTCCTCACTCCAGCAACTTAATGAGGTAAGGCAGGCTACCCATCCCATCATGCAAGTGAGAAAACAGGCTTTATAACTTTGTAACTGACGCCAGTCACTGGCAGAGCAGGGGCCAGAGTGCAGTCTCCTGACTCATACTCCTGAGCTCTTTCATGCTGCCACTCTTCACCAGAGCATCCCAGCAGGTGCAGGTCACCGGGCTACCCCATGCCAGTCTTTTTCTTTTCTTTTCTTTAGTTTTTTGTTTGTCTGCTTATTCATTTTATAGATTTTTTTTTTTATTGGTGGTGATCCTAGAGATTGAACCTAGGGCCTCCTATCTGCTAAGCAAGTACTGTACCATTGAGCTACATCCCCAGCCCCCTTATGATTCTTAGCATAAACCCCTTTTTTGAGCAGCATATTGGGGATTGATATATATGTAATATATAAGCATTGCATATTTACATTTATTCTTATTTTGTCTTTATGTTATTTCTAATATCCAGAGAGGACAGGCAGGGGCTTTCTATATTCACAAAGGCAAGCTAAGCATTATGAAGTTCTTTGAAAGCGGGTGTAATGGTGCACACCTGTTAATCCCAGCATACAGGAGACAAGCCCATGAGGATTGTTGGAAGTCCAAGGCCAACCTGATCTATGCAGTGTAGAGCTACACAGAGAGATTCTGGAAGGGAGGGAGGGAGGGAGGTCGGCTAGTCCTTTGAGATTCAGGACTCAACATATGAGCCAGCAAGATTGTTTAGCAGGTAAAAGCCCTTGCCATAAAGCCTGATAATCTGAGTTCAATCCCCGAAATCCACAAAAAGGTAGAAGGAGAGAACTGACTGACAAAGTTGTCCTCTGATCTGTATACACACGTCATGGCACATGTATGTATGTGTATGTATGTATGTGTGTATATATATATATATATATATATATATATATATATATCATGCTTAGCTTTGGTATCATCCTCAGGAACATCATCCATCTCCTTTGAAACAGGGTCTCTCATTAGCCTAGAGCTCGCCAGCTAGACAGGCTGACCAGTGAGCCCCAGGAATCCTCCTGTCTCTATCTCCCCAGCACTGGGATCACGAATGCACACCACCATTTTCAGCATTTTTATTTGGGTTCTGGGGATCAAACTCAGGCCTTCCTCTTTTTTTTTTTAAATTTTATTTTTTTAATTTTTTTAAATTAATTAATTAATTTAGTCTTTTTTTGAGACAGGGTCTCCTTGTAGCCCCATCTGTCCTGGAACTCACTATGTAGACCAGGCTGGCCTCGAACTCACAAAAATCTACTTGCCTCTGCCTCCCAAGTGCTGGGATTAAAGGTGTGCACCACTACACCTGGCTATTTTTATTTTATGTCTATGCATGTATTGCCTGCATGTGTGTAAGTGCATCCATGCCATGCAATGCCTGCGGAGGTCAGAAGAGGCATCAGATCCCCTGGAACTGTAGTTACAGACAGTTGTTAGCTGCCATGTGGGTGCTGGGATTCAAACCTAGGACTTCTGCAAGAATAGCTAGTGTTCTTAACCCCTAAGTCAGGCCTTCATCTTATAAGGCAAACACTTCATCAACTGAGCTATCACCCAAGCCCAGGAAAAAAATTTCAAGTCTTTTAATATCAGGGTCTGGGTCTGGAGAGATAGCTCAGTGGTTAAGAGCACTGGCTGTTCTTGCAGAAGACCCAGGTTCAAATCCCAGCACTCACATGGCAGCTGACAACCGTCTGTTAACTCCAGTTCCAAGGGATCTGATGGGCACTGCATGACACAGGTACACTTATGTACATGCAGGCATAATACTTATACACATAAGAAAATAAATAAAAACAAAAAACCCTGGACTAACTACTTGGGAAACTGAGGCAGGATGATTGCTTGAGTCCACAAGAAATTAACCCAGGTGACATAGTAAGAGCTTATGTCAAATTTGGGGGTTGGGAGGGCCAGAGCGATGGCTCAGCAGTTAAGAGCACTGGCTGCTCTTGCAGAGGACCTGGGTTTGGTTCCTAGAACCCACATAGTGGTTAACATATATCTGTAACTCCAGTTCCAGGGGATCTGATGCCCTCTTCTGATCTCCATGGGCATGCACAACACAGGTGTACTTACATACATACAGGCAATATACTCATACACATAAAATAAAAACTAAAATTTTTTAAATTGAGGGACTGGGGGAGAACCTTTGGCACCCATTATTACTTTGAAGAGCTTGCTCGTGACCCTCCTCTGTGTAACTAGGTCCTGGGTCTTGCAGTTCCAGTTTTTCTGTGCTTAGGCTCAGTGTATGGCTCTGTATGAACAGTAGCACAGCTCTGGCCTCCACAGTGGCAGGGTCATTTGGTAAGAAAAGCTTTGTGACAAGAGACAGAAGACATGATTCTGGCCTCTGTGTTTAAGCACCACTATGCAGTTTTATAATCTGCGAAGACGCTGAGTCATCCAGTCTCTAAGAGCTGATTCTTTTAGATGCTCATATCATTCCCTAAGACAATTATCCATATGTATGGATTACCTCTTAGAAATACACAGTTCATCTGGGCATGGTAGCACATGCCTATGATCCAGCACTTGGGATCAAACTACAAAAACAAAACAAAAAAGTGCACAGTGCAAAATGGGGGCCATTTTTGGTTCTAAATAGAAAGTGCTATTGTCTAATAGCCAGGTGCTACTCCTGGTGTGTAGATGCAGACTGGGAAGCAGGGATTAACTTTGGTGCCCTCCTTTCTTCCCTCCCTCCTTCCCTTCCTTCTTCCTTTTCTCTCTCTTCCCGCCCCACCCTCTTTTGAGACAGGGTCTTACTATGTAGCCCTGGTTGGTCTGGAACTTGCTATGTAGACAAGACTGGCCCAAAACTCCTAGAACTTACATAGATCCACCTGCCTCTGCCTCTTAAGTGCTGGTATTAAAGGTGTGCTCTACTACACCCTGCCCATACTTTTCTTTAAAAAGGAATTGTATGTTTGTATGCATGATGGCATAAGCACATGGCATGGCATGTATGTGGAGGTCATAGGACAACTTCATGGAGTAGGTTCTCTATTTCTACCTGACATGGATTCTGAAGATTGAACTCAGGTTACCACACTCATGCTATGCAGCAGGAACCTCTATACCTGCTGAGCAGTCACACCCTGGTGCAGAACTTTTCCTGACACAAGGACTTTATTGTATCCTCTTTCTGTCAGATCATCTTGTACATCTTGGAGAATCAGGTGCTTAGAGAGCATTAATTTGCTCATTCTAAATCCTAGGCAGAAGGTGAAATGTCTCTTGTTTGGGGAACAGGTGTTTTTCCTAGAAAACGATGACCAGCATAATTGCCTGAGTGACCCTGCAGATCACAGCAGACTGACAGAGCATGTTGCCAAGGCGTTTTGCCTTGCTCTCTGTCCTCACCTGAAGCTGCTAAAGGAGGACGGGACAACTAAACTGGGACTGCGTGTGACACTGGACTCAGATCAGGTAAGAAGCCTCTTAGGCCCTTAGGAAGCTGGCCATCATAGATGTCTGTGGTTTTTTGTTTGTTGCTCTGAGTTTTCCTGAATTAACCCAGAGCTTAATTCTCCAGAATTTGGCTGAGTAGATGTCTCATTCTGAGCTCCCTTGTAACAGTAACATATCCATATGTGCTTCTTGCTCAGGCTTTCAGAACCATTTAAACTGTGGCCTCTTCACCTGCATGTACCCCAAGGAGTTGCCTACCTTCTTCCTGTGGGATAACAGGGAGGACTGTGAGGTCCTGCCACCTGTGACTAGCATGTACCCTTTGAGAGTTCCCAGTCCCACCCAGAAGGAATTGTTCTGCATTCTCTTAGGGGCAATACCACATGTCCCTAACCTTGTTTTCCTTATTCAGCTCAGTGAGATTCTGCTGACTGGTGTCTGCAGTTGTTGGTGCCTAATAAGATTTTTCTTGCTGTCAATATTTTTGTTTAGTTTGTGAATAGTACTGTGCTATCTCCCCAGTGATCTGTCAGTTTAGATCTCCTATCCGTCTTTGTCTTACTTGGTTTTCATATGTTCATATTAACAGTCCTGTCTTCATCTCCCAAGCCTCTGTCCCTTGTTGATATGTCTCTCTTCTGTGACCAAGCTCTCCTGTGTTTCTTTGGATTCAGATGCCTATGGCAGGTCCCACTGGCAAGTTGCCAGATGTCATTTCTTCCTCAACCCTTTAGCTTTGAGTCATTAGAAATAAGCGTGGGCTCTCAGTTGATGCTCCCCCTGAGCCAGTAATCAATTCTACCCAAAAGCTGCTTCTGGCCTAACTGCTTACATGGGGAAAATGTAGTTCCTTGGTGAAAAATTAAATAGATTATTAGGGCAATGTGAAAGGTTCTGTGGCTTCCTCACCAGGCATCAATCAGCTATAGATGCTGGCCTAACATGCATGAAGTCTTTGAATAAATCCCCACCACCACATAAACTAACTGTTGTGGTGTATGCCTGTAATCTCTGCTCCTTGGAGGTGGAGGCAGGAGGATCAGAAGTTTAGCATCATACTTGGCTATATAGTAAGTTTGAGGCCCATCTGATCTATATGAGAGTCCATCTCAAAACAACAAATACCCAGGCTGGCAAGATGACTCAGTGGGTAAGCATACCTACCACCAAGCCTAACGGCTTGAGTTCGATCTCGAGGATCTGTGTACGTGGTGGAAGGGGAGAACCAACTTCTACAAGTTGTCCTCTGATCTCCCCATGCATCTTGTGGCACATGTACCATGACACATGTATGTCTCCACACACATAGACACACAAAAAATTTTTTTTCTTTTCTCTTTTGGTCTTTTTGTGACAGGGTCTCCCTGTAGCCCCAGTTGTCCTGGAACTCACTATGTAGACCAGGCTGGCTTTGAACTCACAGAGATCCACCTGCCCCTGGCTGGGATCAAAGGTGTGAGCCACCATGCCCAGACAGGATAAAATAATTTTTTAAAAAATGACAACAAAAGCTTATCTGGGCTGGGCTTGCTGGTGCACACCTGTAGTCCCAGCAGAAGCAGGCATATCTCTGTGAGTTCAAGGCCAGCCTGGTCTACATAGTGAGTTCCAGGACAGCTCGGGCTACAGGGAGACCCTGTCTCAAAAAGAACCCCCCCCCAAAAAAGCTTATCTGGGTAATACTAGCGTTGAAGCCTTGGGGTTCCATTCCAAATCGTACTGATGAGCTTCTTCACATGGAACAGTTTAGCTACTGAGCACTTCAATTTGCAATCCTCTTGAGGACACAGCCCTGTTATCTTTGAATTCCTATGTTTGTCATTACTCAGAAAATAGTGTGTTAGAGGACTGAAAGAGTGAGGAAAAGTGCTATGTTGTGTTTCTTGCTTTAATTTTATTTTTTTTAATTTTAATTTTTTGAATTTTATGTGTATGCATGTATTGCCTGCACCCATGTCGTGCAATGCCCATGGAGGTCAGAAGAGGCTGTCGGATCCCCTGGGACTGGAGTTATGGACAGTCGTTAACTGCCATGTGGATGCTGGGATTCAAACCCGGTCTTCTGCAAGAACAGCCAGTGTTCTTAACCACTGAGCCATCTCTCCAGCCCCTCACTTTAGTTTTTTTAATGATTTATTTTTATTTGTACAAGTGTTTTGATTCCCTGAATGTATACTGGTATGTGTGTAATGCTGGTAAAGGTCAGAAAAGGGCAGTAGAGCCAACATGTGGGTGCTGGGAATCGAGCCTGGGTCCTCTGGAAGAACAGCAAAGTGCTCATAACCCCTGAGTCACCTTTCTAGCCTCTCACTTTAATTTTTACAACCAGAGACTAATGTATTATTTCTGACTTGCTATACTTCTCTGCATGCCCCATCTCTCCTCCCAGAAAACAAATCTTAACAGGCTAAGTGAGTAGGTCAAAGACTGTACATTTATCAAGTGGCCAGACTGATTAAAACAATGTCAGAATGATGAGCACAATTGAAAGATGTGTGTAGACACTTGTCATGTGTCTAGCACATGGCTAGGGATGGCATGTTTCCTGCTTGGCCTGTCTCTCAGCCCTCTGGGGTCTTCCCTGTCTGGTAACCTGTCTTCCCCTTTTCTCTGTGGTAGGTTGGCTATCAAGCAGGGAGCAATGGCCAGCCTCTCCCCTCGCAGTACATGAAAGATCTGGACAGCGCCCTGGTGCCCGTGATCCATGGAGGGGCCTGCCAGCTCAGTGAGGGCCCTGTCGTCATGGAGCTCATCTTTTACATTCTGGAGAACATCGCATAGATGAAGACTGCATTTTTTTCTGTTTTGACCTGTGGCAACTGCCAGCAGTCATATCTAAATCATTTGCACTTTAAAACTGGAAGACTAAGCTTTTGTTAACACTACCAGTGGGAAGGGGGCAGGGTGGGATTAAGGGTTTAGGGGAAATGGGGTGGGAAGGGTGGTTGGGGGGACAGAAGTTCCATAATTCTAAGTCTTCTATGCATTGTCCACCAAGAAGACCTGGGCAGCTTCTTACTGCACAACAGTTATGCCATCTTTGCAGCTAATCCCCCTCTGTTACTGTCTTTTAAGATTACTTACAGTCATGTGCTCAGAAATGCTTACATGAGTGCAACCATCACCACCTCAGGGTGGGAGGGCAGAAGGGAAATAAACAATGAAGCATCACCTTTGCACTTCTCGTACAGGATTGGCATGAAAAGAAGAATCCCATACTGATCTAGGCCAGGTTATATCCTAGCTGCTTGTCAAGGAGAATCCTATTTTGTTTATTGTTTTTTCAGATTACTCATTGAAACGAATCAAAAGAAAGGGGTAACAACGTAAACCAGGTCATTTGGAAAGCAGAGTGCAGAATCACTCAATATCTGCCCAAGTGAATGGCAGTTAATAATGGAGACTTTCGTGACACCTGACAGAGACTCAAGGGATTTTTACTTACTATAGGCTAGAAATATTTTTGAACATTTTATTGAGAAATCATTTAAACTTCCAGGAAAGTTTCAAATACAAAACAAACAAAAAAACTAACTCACATCCTCTTAGCCCAGCCTCATGTACTGTTCACACAGTAACATTTGGCTGCATTTGACTTGTATTTCTTCTCCCTCCCCATAAAATTAAAGCATTTCAGATTGAGGTGCGTACCACAGAGCCCATTACTCCTTCATAGGAAATGCCTATGTCCCAAAGGTCACATTGACATGATGCTTTAATGTCATGCCTGCCCAGTAATATCCTTTGGGAGCTGTCTCCCTCCAGTGACCCTTCCAGCCTAGGCTCAGACACCACATGTACCTCTCATGACTAGCCTGTATCTGTTTGTGACATAGATCATTTTTTTGAATATAGGCCCTCACATCCTTTTTTTTTTTTTTTCTTTTCTTTTTAGCAGAAAATACCTCATTTACATTATCTTCTCACAATAAGAATCAGTTTATGCCTCTTTGGCCAGAATCATTTGATGACCATCTGCCTCTCAGTGATGGTGATAGATCTGATCACTTGATCAAGACATCTAGTTTTGCACTATATCTTTTCCTCTTTAAAGTAATAATATATTTAGAGGCACTTTCAGACTATGCAAATATCTTGCTCATCAAAATGTCTCCTTAGATTTAGCACCACCGATGTCTCTTACCTGTAATGATCTTTTACTAAGACAGCTGCAAAACGGTTTTCTAACTCCAGCACACTCCCTTCTTTACTAGCTGGACTTGATAATCTATAAACAGACGCCCTTCCTTCATCCCTATGTATTCATTTAATTTTCATGTTGGTCTGTGGAATGTCTATTTAGTGATTCTAACTTTTGTTTTGGTGTTCAAATGGTCTCAACTTTGACTAAGTGGAGCACCTTCAGGCCAGCTCCTGCACCTTGTGACATACTGTATTTTTCACACTTCTAGGTTAACAAGATGCTCCATGCTAATCTTGTATTTACTCTGCCCTAAGCTTAAAATCAGCCTTATCTTCAACCAATCCTGTTACTTTTAATGGGTGTAGTACTAAAAACTAAGATCTGGTTCATCCAGACTAAATGTGATATACTCTGATTCTATCCTGAAATTTATTTTATCTTGATCATAGACCAAATGAATTTCTCCATTTAGTTTGAAAAATACTGCTCTACTCTAGGGGAACCGACTCCAGTGTCCCTGGCATCTTTTAAAAGTCCAGTCCATACAGGATTTAGTCCCTCTATTTCAGAAGTAGAGTGCAGAGGGCCGGGCATAGTGGTACAGGTCTTTAAACCCAGCAGTTGGGAGGCAAAGGCAGGTAGAGCTCTTTGAGATGAGGCCAGCTTGGTCTACATAGCAAGTTCCAGGCCAGCTAAGCTGGGGCTACAGAGAGACCCAGTCTCAAAACACCAAAAATAAGAGTACCCACAAAGCCTTGAGTGAGTTCAGTGCAGGCTCTGGGACAGTAAGGTGTTCCCCACTGGCTAGTGCTGGACCTGGGATTTGCCTAGAGACCTGTCTGGGACAAGAGCTATTTTTCCAAAGATCCAGCCTAGAAAAGTACAGCTGACTAGGTTCATCCTCTCTGTTGGGCGAGGATTACACTTATATGTCTGTCTTTTCAAAGGCTTTGCTGATGGAAGCTACAGAGAACTTTGATTGGACCTTTCTCTTAGACTTGGGTACAGAGTCTCAGAAATGCCCCTTAGCCCACACAGCACTAACTAGGACCATCACTGCACTGCGACTGCTACAGGAAGCACCTTCCAAAAGAGGCAGATTTGCTGTTAACTGAGTTTGGTCTAAATAAACCTCAAAAGGCAAGCTGTTTTCCTCTAGGATTGCCTTCCCACACAGCTAACTCCACCTTGTCACTGTATGTTTATCTTCTAGACCAGTGCAGGCTTTTGAATTTTCTCACTAAGGACAAACTCTGGCCCTGTACAGACAGGTCCATTCTTAACTCATAAAATGTCCTTTATGTGTAATAAAATCATCTTGGGAAATTGAGCATAACCCTCCAAGGATATTTCATGTTTTCTTCTTTTGTTTTATATAATGTGTATTGTAATTTACAAAGTGAAATGCTTAAGTGTCACATTCCTAATTAGGCATTTTTTTCTAGATTTAAACTTAAAAGCTTTAGAGCTTCTAAACTGAAGAACAGAATTGTCATTCTGGTAATTTACTAAATTTTTAAAATTTGGTGTATGCTTACCAAATGGCAGATACTGCATTTTTGGTTTTGAGGGCTGGTGAGACAGGGTCTCTTGGAGCCTGATCCTCCTGCCTCCACCTCCCAAGTGCTGGGATTACAGGGATAATCCACTACACCTGGTACTCTTCATTTATTAACACTTTCTGAACACCCGAGTTCAAGGTGGTAGCAACATGGGATGGTCAGTAAATTCCCATTTCCTGCCTTCCCCTCTCCACACTGGGGCCTGCTGGTAGGCCCCAGATTTCCAACTAAAGCTTCTCTATCTGAAGATAATTTATGCATTTAATGTATTTCCACAAACAATCTGCTCAACATTGTTTCTAGGATTAACAAACTCGTGACAATAGTTTTAACAATGCTATATTTTAAATAGTGGTAATGGGATTCTTAGGGGTCATACACACAAGACTAGGGAACAGAGCAGGACTGATGATATTCATCTTAACAGGTCAGGCAGCTGAGGCCCAGAGAGGGGAAGAACCCATTTGACCCATAATAGATCCGAGCTAGACCAGATACATGCTTCTGCCAGTCTTGTGCCGTGATTTGTTTCAAACTCAAAACAGTTGACCTCACTTAAGGGACAAGGTCTTTTAAGGGATGCCAGAAATATTTAGAAAACAAATCTTAAGAACTTGGAGAGCAACCATACAGGTTTTAAGAGTGGTGCTACATGAAAGGAAAAGTCACAAAGCTTTGCCTTTCGTGAACAAAACTTCCTGATTCTAAAAGAAATTCCTCAAGGCTGGGAGATGGCTCAGCCATCTTGGCTGCTCTTCCAGAGGACCTGAGTTCAGTTCCCAGCACCCACAATGGGCTGCTCACAACTGCCTCTTAACTCTAGCTCCAGGGGTTCCGATTCCCCTCTGGCTTCCTGAGGGCACCTACGCACACGTGCAGACACAAGTACACATAATTTTTAAAAATAATCTTTAAATTTCTCCCATATTTTATTCAGTTCAGTAATTCAGAACATGCAAATTGCACTAGATCAGAAAGTACAAAATTTGAAAATGACCCCTGCATAATTAGTTTGGATATTGTGGTTGGACAAGATGAGGACCTATGTAGGCCCTTCCCCCACCCATGCATTTCTTGGCTACAACAAAGACCTTTTAAGAACCTCAGTGCAGTGGGTGGCTTTGTCAAGCCTCCCTCTGCCTTGTTTTTCAGTAAGCAGAACAATAAAGCCATCTGAAACGGAAGGGGTTGCAAAGGGAAATTCTGGAAGCCATAGAAAATAAGGACATTTCCAGCAGAGGGATGAAATGAAAAATGCCTGGGGCTAATTGAAAGGATAACCTGTGATGCTTCACCTTAGCTAGCACTGGGTTGGATGCAAACTCTTAAGGAAAACCAGGTGGGACCAAAAACTTTTCAGGTGACCCCTCCCTGTTTTAGATTCTTCGTGAGGGCAGATGACCCTCATTTTCATCCCACATTACTGCTGGACACAGGACGAGAATTGTTTAGTCTTTTACATTTATTTGTGTTGTATGTCTCAGGTGGAGGTCAGAGGACAGACAGCTTGCAGAAGTCAGCTCTCCCCTTCCACCATGTGAGTCCCAGATTGAACTCAGGTCGTCAAGCTTGGCAACAAGCACCTTTACCCATTTAGCCATCTCACTGGCCCAACTTGTTAAATCTCATTTCTGTAGAAGTATTGGTAGCTTACATCTTATAGGTAAGACTGGCCAGACAGCTCTTGGGAAAATCACTTGTCTGTAGTTTCTGTTGTCATTAAAATTTTTGATTGGCTCTTAAGGGCAGGGAAGCATGGTCCAGCCCTGTTACACCAACAGATAAACAAGAGCTCACTCCCTGAGCTGTGCTTATGCAATACTATAGTGATCAGTAAGCTGAATGTATTTGCTTCACGTAGAGCCTTTAAAAATAATCTTGAGGAAGCTAGGCATGGTGGCTCATGCCTGTAATCCCAGCACAAGGGAGGCTGAAGCAGGAGTTCAAGACCAGCATGGACTACACAGAAAATTCCAAGACAGCCTGGACTACAGAGTGACACCCTGTCTCCTACAACAGCAACAACAAAACCCCCATACCACACACAAAGAAAATAAAAAATAAAAATCTCGAGTACTTTGTTGCACTCAATGCTTTAACAGGAATGGGGCTGGCGAGATGGTGCAGTGGTTAAGAGTACTGACTGCTCTTGCAAAGGATCTGGGTTTGGTTCCCAGCACCCATATGATAGCTAATAACCATCCTCCATAATTCCAGTTCTAAGGGGTCCAATGCCCTCTTCTGGCGTCCGTGGGCATCGCATGCACATTGTGCATTTACTTATACGCAGTACCCAAAAATAAATTTTTAAAATAAAATAGAGGGAAAAAGCTAGAGTACTGATTTCTATGAAATACAGAGAACTGCCATTTTGAGTATTAACCCTGTTGCAACTTCATGTCCCTTCATTTCCACTCATTCACCACAAAAAGCTACAGAATGGACAAAACGGGGATTAGATCAGGTCAAAGACAGGCCTCAGGGGAGGAAGCCATAGCCACAGTGCTGCTATTTTGGGTTTTTTAAATGACAAGGAACAGGGCTTTTAAAGACTTTGATGGTTAACACTGTGTTTAGAGTATAAAATCCCTATAGTGAATTAGACCTAGTATCTTAAATAAAAATGGCTACATAAAACTTACATATATTTTTTTCTTTCTTTCTTCTTTTTTTTTTTCTTTCTCTCTTTTTCTTTCCTTTCTTTCTCTCTCTTTCTTTCTCTCTCTCTTTCTTTCTCTCTTTCTCTCTTTCCTTTCTTTCTTTCTTTCTTTCTTTCTTTCTTTCTTTCTTTCTTTCTTTCTTTCTTTCTTTCTTTCCTTCCTTCCTTCTTCTTTTCTTTTCTTTTTCTTTTCTCTCCCTAGTTAACAGTCTTTCATCCTAGGTACATGGACCAAAACCAAGACACAACCTTCCCCTTACTTCCCACCAAGCAGTACCAAAGTAACTTTCCTGTTACCAAGTCCTCTGGGAAGCAGGAAGGCTAGGGCAGCAGCGGTCAAGAACAAAGGCACAGGCAAGGGGGAAATGGCTGAGCTGCCATTAAGAACTGGAGTCACAGAACCCTGTCCCTGCTCTAAGCAGAGAAGGCCCAATCACTCTCGAGTTCTCCCATCCCTTACAGTTAACATCTTTGAAAGGCACATTCAGAAATGGTGCTACTGGGACTGGGGAAAGTTGTACACCATCATTATGAGGTTAAGTGGCAGGATTCTATGGCATAGAGTAAGGAGGGTATCCTGGTCTTCGCTCACACTTTGGAGAGTGGGAGGCTGGGAGAGAAGCTCTTGGGATCTAGCCTGCTTCACTGGAGGCCCAGGAGAGGCAGCGAGAGGAAAGCCCAGGCCATGGTTAGTTCAGCAGGTCTTTGGCGCTTGTGTAACAGCATCTCTCTTAAGTACAAAGGCTCTTGCAGTCAGCAATGCTGGGAAGTGAGCTGGTGCACATCACAGCTGCCCAGTTCCCTCCCAGGGCGGACTACCTGTTGCACAGGGCAAAAGCACAAGTCAACCTAAACTATCTTAGAAGTCACTGGACTTCAGAAGGCTTTCCTGAAGGTTTCTGAAAGGTTACCTTTCCTTCCCAAGTCTATCGAGGAATTCTCGGAACTCGGCTTAGGAGCCTGTCCCAATAGTTCTGCCTTTGGTCTTCTTTACAAATGAGAAAATTAAAGGCTTTCTCCCCAGAAATGAACTAAGAAGGGTCTCTTTTGGGTCCTGGCAGAGGGTAGGGAGACAGAAGACTGGGGCTGAGAGAGCTGCTCACCTCACATGTTCCTCGGCTCCAGGACCAGCCAGTTCTCCGTGACAACCTGCACATCCTGGCCACTCAAAGGCTCCCGCAGTCTCACCTTCACCTCCAGCTTCCCCCCAGTGGGCTTTCTTCCATCCAGGACCTGTGGCAAACAAAGAGACAGTAACTAAGGGGACAGGATGAGGCAGCCAGGTCCAGAAGGTCCCAGAAAAGGAACAAGAAAAACTGAGGCATTCTAGCTGCTAACAAATGTGTCATCAGGACAGCCCCCCTCCTGCAGCGTGGGAAGGAGTGGACTGCTTGCTAAGTCTGTAAACAAGTAACCTAAAATCTAGATGAGCATCAGTGCTCTGAAGAAATAAGAAACCTAGAGTTCTACTCAGTCCTGTGCTCAATCATCATGGTAATTCCTAGAACAAATACTGGCTTCAAGGGGGCAGCCTGAACCCGAGCCCAGACAGACCCTCACTTCAGGTGGCCCACAGAAGATGACTAGTAGCATCTGGTTCCAGAGAAGGAACCAAGCCAAGGGTTCCTTCCCACACCCAGGGCATATCCTCCTTCTGGACAGGTAAGGCGACAGAACACAAAGCACTGCAACAGGCCAGAGGATTTCGACCACCCTTAGTAGAGCCAGTAACAGTCCTCCTCCAGAACAGCAGGCAGGGCGAGCTTCAGTCTCCAAAAGCAGCATCAGCTCTGGACCTGGCTCTGCCAAGGACTAACAAGTCCCCTTTCCCTCTGCCTTGTTCCCTATCTGTCAGAAGCAAGCTCTTACAGATCATCTGCTTGTACAGTCCTGTGAAGTCCATGGAAGCCTAAGGAGCTATCTAGGGCCCAATGTCCTAGGCACAGAGTACAGGCACGTGGGTCGCTGATCCAGAAATACCATATCCAGCTTTTTCACTTTCTCGTGCTGCCAGCCTAGCCCTAGATACAGAGGAATCTGTATGCCATGGTCAGAATCCTCAAGGGTCTTTGAGGAACTTGAATAGTCCCCAGGGCTATGGAAAAAGTGTGGCTACTTCCCATCTGGCTGACTCTGAAAGTTTCTCAGACCTTTTTTTTTTTTTCTGGAGACAGGATCTCCTGGCTGCCCAGAACTCAGATCAGGCTAGCCTTGAACTCGCAGAGATAGGCCCTGCTGCTGCCTCTGCCTCCCAAGTGGAGAGGGATCAAAGGTGTACTCCACCACACCTAGTTTCTTAGATAATCTTAACCGCATCCATCTATGACAGGGAAACCACCTATTCCAAAGCATACTTCAGACAATTTTAAGCTATGGGCATAGAACCCTCAGTAGGGCTCCATGAATACTGGCTCTCCTCTTACCACTCCCTGGGCCCCACCTCCATGATCTCTCTGATCTCACACTCATTCTCCAGCCTTTCTAATTTCAGGTGTGCTGTGCCAACCAGCTTGTCACTTCTGAAGAAGGATCTGGGGAGACAAAAGGCAACAGAGGATTAGAATGGGCAGGGAGGGCAAGAATAAACTGAGTCCAATGCAAGAAAATAGTGGTAGGGGGGCAGGCAGGGACAGACCTACCATCAAGCTACCTACCATTCCTTCCCTTCCCACCTTGCCAGGGGGATTGACAGGGCCCTCACCCTTTGTGGAAGATCTCAAACTTGATTCCTTTGCTCTGGATCACCCTCCTGAAGCCCCGGTGATTTCTATTGATGTTTAGTTTGAAGACTTGTTCAAATTCTGCAAAGGAGGGAGAAGGTAAAGAGGAGACTGGAGCTCCTAAGGAAGTAGAAACGGAAGTCCAGGGCAGGCTTCCTCCGAATCTCTGCCTGCAATTCAGGGTGTCGGCCACCAGAGGCAGGCAGAGCATGTAGGTTCTGACTAAAAAGTTTTGATGTCCTGAGACACACATTCTTGGAATCTGGAATAAGGATTCCTGGATTCAGCCCCTCCCTTGTTTTAAAAACAACAGGGCCTCATTATGTACGCTTGGCTGGCCTGGAGCTCACTATATAGACCATGCCGGCCTCAATCTGCAGTTCCTTATGCTTCTGCCTCCCAAGCACTGGCATTACAGATGTGAGCAACAGGCCCAGTCTTCAAGTCCTATTTTTAGCTCTACCTTGCTATGAAGCCCTAAGCAAGCTAGTTACCTCACCTAGCCTCAAGCTAGTTACCTCACCTAGCCTCAAGCCAGTTTTTGTGGGTTTTATTATTATGTATAGGAGGAGATGTGTGCACTTGAGTGCAAGTATCCATGGAGGCCAGAGACACTGGATCCCCCTGGAGCTAGTTATATAGGAGGTCATGTGCTGCCTGATATGGGTGTTGGGAATTGAACTCAGGTCCCTTGAAAGAGCTGTATGAGCTTCAAACCACAGAGCAATCTCTCCAACCCCAAGCCTCAGTTTTCCCATTTACGTAAGAGAAGCGTTACAAACACCAGCATTTATTTTTTGAGTTGAGTGGGCCAAGTAAGACAGGTGTTAAAACTCTTTGGCAAGAGTGATGTTCACATGGAAAAGGGAAAAGGGGTCTTGTATGTCACTCACCTGGAGAGTTTGTGTTCTTTACTACGGCTGTTTTGCTTTTTTGAGCCTGGTCCTACAGCAGAGAGAAAGGAGAAATTAGGATGGCTCAAAAAATAAAGTTTTCAGGTGCAGGAACTTTGGGCCAAGTCAGTGATAAGGAAAGTAACTCCTGTAGGAAACAGGCCAGAGGGTCTTCAACTCCTTCCTGTGGCCAGGCTGCTCAAGGATGGAGGGAAATTAAATGAGTCCTGGGGTTCAGAGGAGCCTCACCGAATTAGGGTAGTGGAACTCAAACCGTACAAAAGCATCCAGGTCATCAGGAGTAACCCCTGGGAGGAGAAAAGGGAGTCAGGTCAGAGAGCACAGTCAGAGGCTGGTGACCAAGCACCAAGTAGAATGTTTAGACGAGCCTCCATAATCTTTAGGGGTTACCTGGAGGGGCTGGGAGGTTCATTCCCCTGACGATGATCAGATGCATTTCTGTGCTATTGAGTTCTGAGAAGATCCTACAGACAAGAATGCAGATTGCAGAACAAAACAGTATCAGAACAAGGCCCCACCTTCTAGAGCCTGTCTACCCAGCTGAGTGGTGGGCCAGCACAGTGCCCAGGAAGCAATGCAGCAGTCTTTGGTCTCTTGGTCCAGAGCTATTTCCATAGTCACCACAGCTCTAAGCTCCTCTCTGTAGGCACACCTCCTCCTCCACCACTCCAGTACCCACAGCACTGGGAAGTCTTACAAAAGAGTCTCCAGGCTCCACTCTCAACCTTTTGCCCTACCCTGAAGAGAGCCAGTTTCCCTTAGGCTTTGGCACCTCACAGTCTGAAATGTCTTCAATTCAAAGTGGTGGCTGGGAGGATCAACACCCTGGGCCCAGGCCAGTTGCAGGATCTCAAGCTGTTTCTTGCGGTCCTGAGCAAGCTTCTCAAACCTGCCAGGGATAGGTATTACCAACAGCAGCAAGGTCAGACTTGTTCTCTGTTCCCTGCCCCACAAGCCCCGGCAGCCTTGGTACTTACCGGGTAGTCTCAACCACATTGCCCTGGTGCATGAACTGCTTGGAGAACAGCAAGCACTTCTAAAAACAGAGGCCTAGAGTGACTCCAGAGCCAGAGCAGCAGTCAAGGCCTGACCTCTCGAAGTGCTAAACAGTTGTGAGTAACCTCACCTCCTGTAACAGTGCTCCCAGGGCACTCTTCCTAAGGCCCAGCACACTTTCCTGCTAATTTTTTTTTTTTTTTTTTTTTTTGGTCTTTTTGAGACAGGGTCTCCCTGTAGCCCCAGCTGACCTGGAACTCACTATGTAGACCAGGCTGGCCTTGAACTCACAGAGATCTGCCTGCCTCTGCCTCCCGAGTGCTGGGATTAAAGGCACGCGCCACCATGCCCAGCATGTTTGTTTATTTTTTAGTTTGATACTGGGTCTCAGCTGTATAACCCAGGCTTAACAACTCACAGCAATTCTCCTGTCTCACCCTCCCAAGTGCTGGTATTTGCAGGCATGTATCATCCACCATGCCTGGCTTCACCTATATTTTCACCATTTCCTCTTAGGACAGCCATTCCCCAAAATCCATTTAGCAAACTCTTTCCTTCAATAATTAATCTGGTTGTAGTGGTGCTGCCTGTAACCCCAGAATTTAGAAAGCTGGAGCAGAAGGATCATGAGTTTGAAGGTCCATAGTGAGTACCTGCTAGTGTATTTAGTAAGACCTGTCTAGAGAAAAAAACACCATCCCCGCAAAACAAAACAAAATCCCCACAAACTCAAGCAAGCACATCGCTTCAAAAGACAGTATTCCCAGAACAGGCAGCAATTCAGATCAATCCCCTCCCACAAAATCCATTCCTTCACTGTTGTTCAAACATCCTAACCATAGAAAGAATGGTATCATTTTATTTTACAGATGAGGGAAGGGTGGTTTGGAGAGGGAACTGCCTTGCACAAGGTCACACAGCCCCTAAGTAAAAGAACTAGATTCCAAACCCACACTTGCCTGCTCCAAGTCCCATGCCTTTCTCCAGGGAGGCTGGGGGCTCCAAAGGAGAATAATGAGACAACAGCCTACTGACCTCATGCTGCTCTAGGAGTATTTTTTGTAGCTGGGCATACACCTCTTCTGCCTTCTGGGAGAGTCGCAGGTCCTCGTGGTGAATGAGGATGAAGTCACCCTCTTCATCCGTCAAGGGTGAAGGCACCTATCCAGATCATAAGGCCCCCTCGGGCCCCAAGAGTCAGATTACTCCTCTACTGAGTCCAGCAAATACAAGAAGCCATGCTAAACTTATTTCTCAACTTACTAACCTCCAGTGATGGGCACTCCCAGCCTCCCATTCTACCCCAGCTGCTTCTACTGGCCTTGGCCTGCCTTGCCATCTCTGACCACAGGCAACCCACCTTCCTTTCCTCTAGGGTCTCTCCCTAATGCACTCTCTCCAGGCCATAAGAAGGGAGAGAGGCATAAGCAAAAGGCTCTTTATCTGCTGTCACCATTCTATAGAAGCCCCACCTCCTTCCAGAAGCCACCACAGTTCATGGCCCTGTGAAGCTTGCTCCCACCTCCATGCCTGAAGCAGTCTTGTGCTTAACTAAGTGGGAGTCACCTTAGAGAGGTCAACAGTTTGGCCTGCTCGGGCCTGGATGATCTGGGCCTCAAGACATTTAGCCACTCGCAGATGGGATTTGGCCTGCTCCAAGTCCTGCCTGCGCTTGGCTTGAAGGGCTGCTCGTTGGTACTGGAGTTTCCGAGCCTCCAAGAGAGCCAGCTGCTCCCGAGCTAAAGAGAGAAAGCCAATGATTAGGGTAATGCCTGTCTTACTAGATCTCCACTCCTACAACCTGCTTGCCCCCAACTCACCTGTTGGACTCAGTGACTCCTTAGAACTTGAAGCCTTGAGCTCAGGCAGAAGATGGGATGGAGGGACTGGAGGCTGCACTGGTTTCTTGGCTACTGGGGCCTGTGCTGGGATGTCACTCTGCAGGTACCCAGTAAGGAGGCTATCACAGAGGACTGTTCCCATCCTGGCTATGGTAGCCCCCAGACTATTTCCCCAATGTACCTATTCACTATGTGACCTCAGCTGAATGGCTTCACCTCCTGAGTCCTACAACTCAATGCTATAAGCGTCAAAAGCTCTCTGGTCTAACCCTCCTAACAGGAGATGCCACAGTAATGGAGAATGAACCTGCACACTGGGGTCAGAAATATCCGCCTCTGGCCAAGTGTTTCTCTAAAATGTATTGTTGTCACTAGGGCTGTTAATACCACAATGGGTTCTGGGTTTATTCATTATCTGCTGTTTCCCCCTACCAAGGCCTGAATTTTTGGACCCTTAGCCAAACCTCCTCATTCTCATCTTCGTCTCCCAGGGCTGTATCTTCTGAGGTCAGTTTCTGGGCAGCTGCCAAAGGCGCTGGCACTAAATCCTCCTCGGTACCCTTAGTGGGCTCCAGGCCAGGGATGGGGGGAAATCCTGTGAAGAGAGACAGAACAGAGAGGGGCAAGGTGGTAGCTTGAGGGACATGTGAGGTTGCTGTGGGTCTTATCTGGCTCTGCCTTCAGATGGCTGGGATGGGTAATTCCCACAGGGTAGAAACATACACAAATTTCTTCCTCCCTCCCTTCTTGCTCAAACACCTCATAGGGCCCCCTAGGCTAAGCCCCACCCACCTGGAGGAACAGGTAACTCAGCAAAGTCCACTTTCCGTCCTGCTCGATGAGCTCGAATAGCATCCTGATATTGCTACACGGGAAGAAAGGAAGAGTCCTCAGGTGGACTGTAGTCTACAGGCTCCATGCTCCCCATGACAGACAGACAGACAGGCAGGGAAAGAAGACAGGGAAGGAAAACAGCCCTACAAGAAAAGGGGTCCTGAGACAGCAAGAGTTCAGAGACAGACAAAGACTCAAACACCAGGGCTGGTGGAAAAGCAGCCAAGAACAGGCCAGCACAAGGCAGGGGCTGCATGGCTGTGGGCTCACCTTGGCAATGCGTTCGTGCATCCTGGCCTTGCGCTCATTCCCACTGGCCCGAGCCTGATGGCCTGCCTCTTGGTACTTGTCTAGCCTTCGCTGCAAGGCATCCAGTACTGTTTGTGGCTCTGCAGGGGCCACTGTGAAGGGAGTAAAAAGAGACCATCAGCTTTGCCAGTACCTCCCCAGATCCCCACTCCCTGTCCCACTGTCTTAAGTCCTACCTAGGGTGGCTGGGATGTCAGGGGCCATCAAGGGCTGTACTCGCTCCAGTGCTGGAGATAGGACTGGAGTTGCTGTAGGAGCCTTGGAAGCTTGTGGGAAGGTCTTCAGATCTGGGGACCCAGAGAAGTAGGTTAGGCAGAATGCCTGGCCAGCTCTACAACTCTCAGTTCTCCCTAATCCCAACCTAAGCAGATGCCCCCATCATCCTACTAACCTTCAGGTGCTGGGGGCATGGCACTCAGATCCACAGGCTGTCCCTTCTCCAGGGCCTCCAGGACAGCACTAAATCTCTGCAGGAGAAGAGCAGTTATGGGCATCAGCCACAGAGCCTCAAGAGCCTGGCCTGCAACAAGTTCCCATCAGGCCAGTCTTACCCACATGCTGTTTGGTTCTTTCTCTGAACCCCTGCTTCCCTATCTGTAAAGTGAGAGCTGTATGTCATACCTTCCCAATCTTCATGAGCTCCCTGGCATGGTCTATATCTCCAGTCCGCTTGGCACTGAGAGCAGCCACTTTGTACTCTCTCTGTCGGGTCAACAGCAAGGCCCGTGGGTCTGAGTCTGAATCTGGCAGGGCAGCAATGGCAGAGCTGCCTGGGAGACTGGTCTCAGGTTGCAAGGGATTGTCTACAGGAAATAAAAGGTCCCCAGGGAGGGCTTGAGGGTCAAAGGACAAAGTCCCAAGAGCCCATAAACCCAGTAGTCTGAGGACCTCTTGGGATAATGGGCAGGCAGGTAGGGAGGCAGGCTATGGGAACCAGATCAGGATCTGGATGTCTTCAGACACCTGTCTCCATGGCAGGGGAAGCTGCAGAGTCTGTCTCAGGGCTCCTGCTGGCAGTTTCCTCAGGGGGTGGGGACCTCTTTCCCAAGGCCACTGGAGGTGGAATCTCATCCTCATTGATCTTCCTGCCTTTCCTCACAGTAGCGAGCTGTGACTCCAGAGTCTGAGAGAGAGAACCAGTCTAGAGACTCAAGCCGCTGGCTGGGCCTGCTGGAAGACAGGCTTCCGATCTGCCACGTCCCTCAGGCTTGCGCATGGCCGCCCCTTAATTGCCACCTTACCCCCAGTCCTGCCCCCCCAGTCCTCTACAGATGACCTGACTCACCTTCAGGCCTCGCTCACAGCGCCGGGCTTTGGCAGCTTCACCTGCTTCCTTGGCACAGGCTGCGGCTTCCCTGTAGTTGTGGATCCTTCCCTCCAGCAAAGCCTGCAGCCCCCGAGGCCCTCCAGCCTGCAGATACTTCAGCTCAGGGCTGGGCCACTCCACAGCCAGCTAGGCCCTTGCCATTCTCTCCCTGTGAGGAAGCTACCCCAGAAGATGGATCTCTAGGACTCTGGAGAAAGAGGTGCCTAAACCCCCAGGGTGTGAGGTAAAGACCCGCTAGAGAGGCCAGAAGCCATGTCAGGCAAACACAGGCCCCATATCAGTGGAGACCAGGAAATGTTGTCTGGGGATGGTCTGGAACAGAGAGGCCTCTGAGGTCAGCCAGCCATGGGGGAGTCTCATGCTTGCTTTCTGTTTCGGGTAGCTGCTGGAGTTACTCAGCAACCTTGCTGTGCAAGCCATGCTACATGCATGCTATAATGGACACACAAGAGCATCAAAGGCACACAGGGCCCTCCTGGAGAACCTACCTGAGCCGCTGGGACCGCAGCATTTAGGAGGGCTCCCTGCACTACAGGTTGTTCAGAGCTCTCCTGTGCCTTCTCCTCTTCAGACAAGTCTGGACTTGCTGCTTCACTGCCATCTAGCAGCTCAGCATCCTCATCCACACCCAGGACCTCCTGCAGCTCTGTCTAGGGAGACAGTCCAGAACTTTGGGTGCCTCAAGGTCACACTCATGACAGGAAAAAGATCCTCTTCCCCAGCAGTATTTTTCAATGTCAATACTTGGGCTTAGTCCTTTTTAGTAAACCATTTCTTTAATCTGACCAAGGAAGGCCTTGAAACCATGAAGACTTCAGATCTGAGAATTCCCAACCAGAAAGTTCAGACCAGAAGTCAAAAGAGACAAGTCTTATACTGTACATCCCTAAGAACAGGCCTGGGAGGGGCAGGGCACTCATGCATCTGGGCACAGACAAACCCCCGCCTCCACCTCTCCTGAATGTGATCCCTGGACACCAGCTTGGCAAACACACCAGCAGATCTGCATCTTCCTCCAGCCCTTCCTCCTCCTCCTCCTCCTCTTCTACATCTCGCATACAGTCTGCTGCCAATTTCTCGATATGGGCCATGGGCAGCGGGGCTGGGGAAAAATAGTCAGAGACCATAAGGCCAACTCAAATAAGGTCCTGGACAAAAATAGGGAGGGTCTTCAAGTCATTATATTGGTAGATATCCCGGGCAAAAATCCTGCTTTCCTTCCACAGCAGAGTCCCACCCAGAAAAGCATTCTTTTATGACCCAGCTCAAAAGACCCTTGTCACGAACACCTTCTTGGGGCCTCCAACAAGCAATAAGCAGCAAACAAGCTGCTTCTCGCCCTGCATTTCTGCCTGTAGTTCAACATGTCCATCTGCCTTTCACATCTGTAAATGGTTTTAACATCTACTTGAGTTTCATATATCTTAAATATGAATAATTTTATCCTCATTTTCCATACTGAATAAATTGGGAAGCACCAATATCCATTTCCCTAACATTGAAATTTTAATAAATGGCAAATATTCAACTCTAGGCTTGTCTAACCCCAAAGCAGGGCCAGAGAAGTGAGCCCCTGTCCAGTCATGTCATTAAACTCAGGTCAAGGACATACAGAAGAGATTGAGGGTTCCTAGTTAGAAGAAAGGAATATTCACGAGCCAGGCATGGTGGCACCCACCTTTAATCCCAGCACTCGGGAGGCAGAGGCAGGCTGATCTTTGTGAGTTTGAGGCCAGCCTGGTCTACACAGTGAGTTCCAGGACAGCTGGGGCTACAGGGAGACCCTGCCTCAAAAAGAAAAAAAAAAAAAAAAAGGAATACTCAGACCCCTTGATCTGAGCCCAGATCTCTGCCCTCCTCCAAGATATGGAGAGAGATTTCACTTATTCATTTGATATAATTTCTATTCACCTGCAATGTGCCCCATTCTGACTGTGCTAACTGGGCTCCTGCTATATGCTGGGCTCTAGGTAAGGCTAACACTAGTGACTTGAGTTAGGCAGAATCAGACTTCTCCGTAGGGGGAGAGAGCTCCATACATAGGTACATAAGGAACTTTGTGGCTAAGCTACAGAAGGGACATGAGTAGCAAATGGACCATGGGTCTGGCTGACCGACTCCTCTAGTTTATATAGCAAGGACCTCTACCATGGGCCGACACCAGCCTGGGGTGAAAACTCACCCTGCCCCTTGGGTGCTGACTTCCTGCCTGTGCTCTCTACTTCCCCAGTGAGGGCCAACAGCTCAGCCTCCAGGTCCCCATCATCTTCAGTCTCATCCATCCCCAGCAGCACGTCCTCAGGGTTGAACTCCACAAAAAGCCCCAGCTGAGAATAGAAAAGGGTCCTTAAGAATCACATAATGGGGGCTAGAGAGAGAAGGCTCAGTGATTGAGTGTGTCCTGCTCTTCCAGAAGACCCAAGTTCAGGTCCTAGCACCCATACCAGCACCCAGTTCACAACCACCTGTTCCTAACTCTGGCTCCAGGGGATCTGATGCCCTCTTCTGGTTTCCAGGAGCGCCCTCACCCAGGCAAACACATATATAAAGTTAAAAATAAATCTTTTTGTTTGTTTTGAGACAAGGTCTCGCTATGTATCCTGGCTACCCTGGAACTCACTATGTAGACCAGGTTGACCATAGAGTACTGCTTGCCTCTGCTGCCTGAGTTCTGAGATTAAAGGAGTATACCTGGTAAAAATAAACCTTTTTTAAAAAATTATATAATGAGCCAGCACCTGGAGGGCACAGGCAGGAGAATTATTACAAGTTCAAGGCTAATGTGGCCTTCATAGAGTTCTAGGCTAGCTAGGGCTATATAGCAAGACCATCTCAAAAAATAAACAACAACAAAAAGAATTACATAATGAAGCCTGGTATAGTGGTACATGCATGTAATCCAAGCACTTGGGAGGTGGGAGGCAGGATGATCAGGAGTTCAAGGCCAACGTGGGCTACATGAGACCCTGACTCAAAAAGACACATAATGAAATTAGGTGTGGTGGCACATGCTGTTATCCCAGCACTTGAGGAGACTGAGACAGAACCACAAGTTCAAAGCCTACTTGAACTACACAGTTAGGTCCGAGGTCAGCCTAGGAAATTTTAATAGACCCCGTGTCAAATAAAAAAGCCAAAAAGGTCTGGGGATTTTAGTTCAGTAAAGCACCCCAGGTTCCGTCCCCACATCCCCAGCACTAGAGAGACAGAAAGATAACAAATATAAATGAGAATGAATGGTATCACACAATGAAGAAGAGTAGAGCAGAGGCTGACTTGGGGCTCTCAGCTGGGGCTCCTTCACTCTGAGGCCCAGATAGGAAAACAGGCCTCAAACATGGAGAATTCTTTAAAGAACCCAGTAAGACTACACTGCCACTATTATTACTAACAATAACAGTACTGGGTACTACACTGAACATAGTTCATGATTATACTAGTTAATTCTCACAATTCTCTCACAGATGCAATTCTCCCACCTCATCTTTTTTTAGGGGGGTAGGAATATTTGAAACATGCTTTTATTGTATAACCTAGGTTGGCCTTGAACCCACAATCCTCCTGTTTCAACCTCCCTAGTGCTGGGGCTATAGGCATGCACACTGAACTTTTGTGTGTACATGTGCATGCGTGTGTGTGGTGTGTGTGTGAGTGTACTGCCTGCATGTATGTAAATGCACCTGTGTTGTGCAATGCCTGTGGAGGTCAGAAGAAGGTGTCAAAACCCCTGGAACTGGAGTTACAGACAGCTGTTAGATGACATGTGGGTGCTGAGAGTTGAACCTGGGTCTTCTGTAAGAGCGATCAGTGCTGAGCCATCTCTCCAGTCCCACATACCGCACTTTTAATTGTAGTAGAACACATATATGAAATCTGTCATCCTACAATTGTTTTGAGTCAAGTTCTCACTATGTAGAACTTGCTATGTAGACCAAGATGGCCTTGAATTCATAGACTTACCTGCCTCTGCTGCGATTAAAGATGTACACCACACCCAGCAAGCCTACCCATTTTTAAGTGTGACGCTCAGTGACATCATACATTCCTATTGCTGTGCAACCATCACCACTATCCGTCAAGACAGACTGTACCTATTGAACACTAACTCTCCATTTTTCCCTCTTTCACCCTCTGGTAAACATAATTCTATTTTCTGTGTCTATTTTTTGACTATTCTAGGTAGATATGAGTCCTAGTTTACCCCATTGTCTAGTAATAACTGAAAACCTCTTGGATAGCAAAACCAGAATTTAAAACATTCTGATGACATCTATGCCCTGTATTCCAACTCATCCCTTACCTGCTTTTGTTTGTCTGTCTGTTGTTTTTTGAGGCAGGGTCTTGTTCTGCAGTCCAGGCTGGCCTAGAACTTGCTATGTAGTTCACACTGGGCATGAATTTTGATCCTCCTACCTGTGCCTCTTAAGTGCTAGGATTATGGATGTGGGCCACCACTCCCAGCTTACCTGCTTCTTTAGGACACTAAAAATACACTAGGATTCTCAGGACTTAGTCCCTAAAGAAATAAAGGGATAAAATATGCAAGATACACCTTCTTCAGACTCCCACATTGGCCATGCCCCTTTGTCCCTAGGCAGCAAAGTTTTCCCACTGGCTACAGCCTTAAAGTCCTGGCATCTTAGGCTGGTCAGCAAGGTTGTGACCCTAAGTAAGGAACCTGTTAAAGCATGGAGGTCTCATCAGAACAACCTAAAAGTTGGTATCTCTTAAACATTCCCATTATTCATACTACCATGTGAATGGCCAAGAGAGGAGGTCAGGCCTCCTTTCCCAGATGACAGGCTTTAGTCAGAGCCCTCCAAGGGCTTCACCACTTACAGGCATTGCTCAGTCTGGACTAACAAGAAAACACATACGTGACCCAATTTTCCCACAGTTTAGCGACAACCCCCGTACTCCAAAGCTGATTCAGGAGTGAAGGTCATGTCCATACCTGCTTGGCAGCTGCCACACCTTGACCACTGGTCTTAGGGCTCTTCCGAGGTCTTGGCCCTGGCATCTTATCAGGCTAGGTACCTAACAGGTGTAAAGTTGAAGTGACTCAGACTGGAGATGATGAGACATGTGCCCACCAGTGTTAAGGAGTGGCTACTGAATTCCCAAGGCAGTAGTATTGCACTGGCACAGGACAGAAGACTATGGAATACTTGTCAACAGAGGAGTTTAGTGGGGTGTACATAACATCTTACAGAACTAACTGACTGAACTTGGAAGGCAGGTTCATAGAAGGAACTCTAGGCGCAAAGTGGTACAAGGATTTGGAAACACTTTAAACACTGTCGTCCATTCAGAAGCAACATGAGGCTAAAGTAATTAAAATTAAAAATTCAGCTCCTCAGTCATACCAGGGACATTCCAAATGCTCAGTAGCTGTGTGTGGCCTGTGGGAAGCACTGGGCGCCACAAATATATAACGTTTCATTGTCACAATTTCCTTGGACGGCTGTGCACCTGACTCACTATTCAGATTCTCTGAAGGACCTCACAAGCCATCCACCAGTCCTCTGTGACAGAGCTGGTCTGGCATAGGAGGTGCAAAAACTCATTTGTCACCACCTCAGCCTTCAAGAAACGCTTCGGTGAAGACAGGTCCGTGGGCTAACTGCCACAGAGCTCCTTAAGGGGCCCAGAGGGCCCAGAGGTCGTCTGTATCCAGGACACAGAGAAAAGGCATCTTGGTGAAGCCTGTGCTAAGTCACGAAGAAGTTTGGGGAGAAAGAGTACGATTCCAAACTGATAATGGTTTGAGGTCAGAAATAGCTTAACCTACACAGGAAATTCAAGGCTTGGCACTACTGGGACATAAACCAAACCGTGGCAGAAAATGGTAAACTGATACAGAAATGTGAGCAAGGGTGAAACATAAAAATCTTTATGGCTAAAGGTGATTGGATTTTACTATGACAGCAGTGCGAAGCATCGCCGGTTGCAGAAGGAAGGTGCACAGGAAATGAGAGAGCGCATAGTGCAGGAAACTTGGCCCTGAGCCTTGTGCAAGTCGGTGAGGGACGTGGGGGGCTGCGAGGAGATGGAGAAACGGATGGGGTCCCCGATCTGGAGAGGGCTTCAACAGGGCTGCGACGCTGGCTGGGTGTGGGCCGGGGCGGGCGTCCGCTACTCCAAGTGTCAGATTTCGGTGACTCAGGGGACCCGCAGGGCGTCAACCCGGGCTCCGGGAGGCAGCCGAGTCCGCGCGGAGGGGCGACGCCGGGCTCCCCACACCCTCGCGGAGACCTGCGGTAGGACCCGCGCGGCCCCGCCAAGCCGCTTCCATCTCCCCGGCCGCCCCCAGGACTCCCCAGGCCGGGAAGCGGGCACGCGGCATACCTCGCGGCGGATCCGAACCAAACCCCGGCCTTCTCCAGCCCGGTACCGCCCGGGATCCCCGTGGCCCCCGGCGGCGACGAACGCAGCTACAGGAAGCGCCGCGCAGGGAGGAGGTGGCTCGCGCCCTACACGTGACTGCACCGCCCCGCGGCTCGCAGTGCGCATGTGTGCGGAGAGGTGGGCGGGGCGCTCTGACAGGTGACCTCGAGGGTGGGGCTCGCAGCACGCAGGCGCCTTCGTGCAGGTAGCGCACCGGGGCTGGGGGGAGGGGTTACGGCGCCCTGGGAGAGGAAGGGGCCTCAGGCTAGTGTTCTCGATCGGGCACTGACTGTACCGCTTCCCAGTCAGAGCGGGAACGGGAAAGACAGGTACCAGCACTCGGGAGACAGGCAGGCGTCCGCGAGCCTCTTCTTCATAACTAGTCCTTCCCAGAACAGAAGCCAGGCAAAGCGCAGCGCAGCTGGAGTGTGGGTTCTGGAGGGTTCATGGAGGGCGTGGTGGCGCAGGCCTTTAGTTCCAGCACTTGGGAGGCAGAGGCAGGTGGATCTCTGTGAGTTCGAGGCCAGCCAGGTCTACATAGCGAGTTCAGGCCAGCTGAGGCTACGGAGAGACCCCGTATTAAAAACAATAACAACAAAAAAGTCGAAGGCAGCGGTGCACATCTGTAAACCCAGTACTCCTTAGACCAGATGGAAGGCAGAGGGGAGCATAACCCAATTCTAGCCTGAGTACACAGCTCAGCCATAAACAAGAGACCCTGCCTCAGTAATGTGAAAGGTGAGCACAGTCCCAAAAATTGTTCTCTGACCTTCACACACACCTTGTGGTACTCAAGGCCTTGCCTGTACTGACGCTTTTCACACACACATACACACGAATACATACCGTATGTGATGTCCTCTTCTGGCATCAGCAGGCACATGCACCCACGTAGACAGTACACTCAGGCACACATACAGAAAAAATTTAAAATTATACGTATAATATATATATATATATACATACATATACATACACACACACACACACACACATATATATATATATGTATATTAGGGGGCTGGAGAGATGGCTTAGTGGTTAAGAGCACTGACTGCTCTTGCAGAGGACCCAGGTTCAATTCCCAGCATCCACATGGCAGCTAACAACTGCCCATAACTCCAGTTCCAGGGGACCTGACGCCCTCTGCGGGCATTGCATGACATGGGTGCACTTACACACATGCAGGCAATACACTCATACACATTAAAAAAAAAAAAAATGCCGGGCGTGCTAGTGTACACCTTTAGCCCGAGCACTCGAGAGGCAGAGGCAGGCAGATCTCTGTGAGTTCGAGGCCAGCCTAGTCTACATAAGGAGTTCCAGGCCAGCTGGGGCTATAGGGAGACCCTGTCTCAAAAAGACCAAAAAATAATAATTTTAAAAATTAAAATATTTTTAAATTATATATATTGGAAATTTTAATTCTATGTATATGAATGTATTGCTTACATGTATGTAAGTGCACCACATGTATACAATACCCACAGAGGTTAGAAGAGGGCATCAGACTCCCTGGAACTATGTTTACCGGCAGTTGTTAGGACTCCATGTGCAGGGAACCAAACCTGGGTCCTCTACAAAAGCAGCAAATGCTCTAAACTGCTGAGCCACGTCTCCAGTCTCCTCTGCTCCCACATCCCCCTGCCCCCTCTTGTACACTTACACCCTATAGCCTTTCTGCTGTCATATTGTATGTGTCCTATTGCTCTCCCACTCCTTTCAATACCTCTTTTCACCTTCATAGTCAATATCCACTTACACATAAATATTAAAGGCTAGGATCCAGGGGCTGGAGAGATGGCTCAGCAGTTAAAGAGCATTGGCTGCTTTTGCAGAGAACCTGGTTTGGTTCCCAGCGACCACATGACAGGTGGTCCATAACTAATTTCAGGGAATCCCTTTTCTAGCCTCTGCAGGCATTGCACACATATGGTGCACTTACATGCATGCAGGCAAAACATTGTTACACATAAAAGAGTTCAGTTTCCAATACCCATCTTAAAAACCTATAATAGGCAACAAGTATTTAAAAGGCCAAGGCCATAAGCTTCAGACATTGGTAATCACTGTTAATTTAATTGAACTGATGTCCTGATGAGATTCATTAAATTTGATTTAACACATAAAAATGATAATTTTTTTTTTTTTGTCTTTTTGAGACAGTGTCCCTGTAGCTGCAGCTGACCTGGAGCTCACTATGTAGACCAGGCTGGCCTTGAACTCACTGAGATCTGCCTTTCTCTGCCTCTTGAGTGCTGGGATTAAAGGCATACACCACCACACCAGGCTCCAACACCCATCTTGAGTGGCTAACAACTGCCTGGAACTCTAGGGGATCTGTTGTCCTCTTCTGACCTCTGCAGGCACCCACACACATATGGCATGCGTGTGCGTGCACACACACACAAATACAGGCGCTATGGGGGCCGGAGAGTTGGCTCAGTGGTTGGCGCTGGCTGCTTTTACAGAGGACCTGGGTTCGGTTCCCAGCACCCACATGGTGACTAACAACCATCTGTAACTCTAGTTCCAGGGGATCCAACCCCCTCTTCTGTCTTCCTTGGGCTTTGCACAACATGGGTGCACTTACATGCAGACATATAACACATAAACATAAAAATAAATAAAAAACAAAAATTAAAAATACAGGAGCTGGCTCATTGGTTAAGAGCGTGTATTGCTCTTACAGAGGACCTAGGTTTGGTTGCCAGCACCTCATGTCAGGCAGTTTACAACCACCTGTAACCCCAGCTCAGATGCCCTTTTCCGAGCTCCAGAACACATGCCCAAATGTGCATACACCCCCACACAGACACATCACACATAATTTTAAAATAGAAATTAACCTTGAAAATAAAAAAAACCAAGTTTTCTTTACTGTTATTTTTGCAAGATGATGATGATTTTGGCCTTTTTTTTTTTTTTTTTTTTTTTTTTAAGACAGGGTCTCCCTGTAATCCCAGCTGTCCTGGAGCTCGCTATGTAGACCAGGCTGGCCTCAAACTCACAGAGATCCGCCTGCCTCTGCCTCCTGAGTGCTGGGACTAAAGGTGTGTGCCACCACGCCCAGCTTTACTATTTTTAAATTATGTGATACAGGGCTTTGTTCTGTTACTATAAAAGCTTCATGAAACTGTTATCATGTTGGGATATTGTATTTGGGTTAACCTAAATCTGTTCCTGGGCCATGGCCACTCGTATTTGGCTCCAAAATAAACTCATTCCCTTTGAGGTGAGAACTGGGTATTTCTGTGTTCTCCATACTGATGAGTTCCAGACCAGTCAGGACCATATAGTGAGACCTCTGTCTTGAAAATAAATAAAACACACAAACTAATAGTTCACAATTTTATATTTGTACTTTTTTTGCAGTGCTATGCAATGGACCCAGAAATTTACACATATGCTAAACAACTACTCTTCTACTGAATGATAATCCCTACCTCTTCTACAAATTTTTAGTTTGAGATAGGGTCTTGCTATATTACCCAGGCAAGCCTCAAACATGTAGTGCCAGTATTTTTTTTTTCTTTTGGAGACAAGGGTGTAGCCCAAGCTGGCCTCAAACTCTGAGACAGGGTTTTGCCATACAGCCCTGACTGGCCCGCAACTCACTATGTAGAGCAGGCAGGTCTCGAACTCCCAGAGACCTGCCTGCTTCTGCCTCCTGACTGAAGGTGTGAGCCACCATGCCTGGTGTGGCATCAAACTTCGTAGCTGAAGATGACCTTGAATTTTGAATCTTCCTGCCTCCACTTCTCAAGTTGTGAGATTGCAGGTATGTGCCCCCATATTTAACTTATGTGGAGCTGGGGATGGAACCATCATATGCTAGGCAAACATTCTACCAAAGAGCTACATTCCCAGCCCCCAAGAACATCTTCCCTGGATTTAATCTTTGATAGCTTCTATTTTCTGTTGTCATACATGTTTTTATCCTTAAAAAATTTGTTCTTAGAACAAGTTTTCGGTTATAAATATTTTTTTTTTTTTGAACACACAGTCTCACTATATGAGTCTGGCATTGAATTTACTATGTGGCTCAGGCTGGTCTCAAATTTGTGACAATCCCCCTGCCATAGCCTCCCAAGTGCTAGGATTGCAGGTATGTGTCACCACGTCAAGGAATCTGGTTTGCATTCAGTTTGTTTAGCAGCAGCAGGACATGAACCCAGTGCCTCCTGCATGCTAGGCCAGCTACCACTGTGATGCACACCAAGCCCCCAGCAGTTTTTATATAATCAGTTTTATTTATGTTGTTCAAAATTTAATACATAATGGCATTCAGTTAAGTCTTCTCGAACCAACTTTAACCACCAGTTATTTCCCAGAGGCAACCAGTGTAGCTATTTTCTTACAAATTCTCCCAGAACTATTTTACATAGATACAAATATACTGTGTACATACCTTTATATATACATAGTACGTTATAATTAAATAAATGGCTGAGCTAGTAACAGAGAGGTTATAATCTGAGCATTTGAAGTCTATAAATTTCCTGAACACTCTGGAAAAAGCAAGTTACCTAATGGAAACTCCAAAATAAAGGACAAACACTTCCATTCATTGTATTTTGCTATAATCCCACGTTCTGAGGAAATCGCAGATGCTTGTGAAGCCCTTCACTCTTCTTTCAGAGCATACAGCACATCATCCTGGCTGACGTTGAGCCTCACTCGAAGGAGTAGGTCATTTCTGCTGGGCTCCACCAGGAGCAGGCGACAAGAGCCCAGACGTGAACACACAGCCATAGTCTCTGACATGGAAGGGTATGGCAGTCCCTCCATTCTGCATAGGGCCACATGCTGACTGTATATCTAGATATAAAAAGCAAAGCAAAGGTTGAGAGGAAAGACAATCCTGGGTGTGTATCCAGTCATTCAATCTATCTTTTCAATAATCGGATACTTTGTGCCTTGGATACCAAATGCTTCATCAGTGCATGCCCTTGCACAAATGCAAGGGAGTGGAATACACACTCCTGAACAGGGCACAGCAAGTCTGAATCCTACTGTTCTACCATTTACCTATGCAACACTGGACTTCTTTTCAGGGAGGGGGGGTAGGCAGCATTCTTTCCTCCTGCCTTGGCTTTCCAAGTATTGAGATTATAGGTGTGAGCCACCACACTTCACCTACTTCATTATTTTGAGCTTCAGTTTTACTTAAAAGATGTACTGTACATCCCTTATCAGTTGATCAGTAGAAAATGATGAGTAACTGTCACTATACAGAAGTAGTCAAAGTCTCTAGGCAGTGAGAGTTCAACAACCCATTATGTAGCTGAGGATGATTTTGAATTTAGCACCCGAGTCTCCTGCCTCTACTTCTCAAATGCTGAGATTATAGGAATGCACCACCATACCAGGTTTATTTGGTACTGGAGGACTGAACCCAGGGCTTTGTACATGCAAGAAAAATCCTCTACTAATTGAGCTGATTATAACTCCAGTCCCAGTTAACTTTAAGAGCCCTAGCCTCATATTTAGAAGGATCTGAAAAATGGCAATCAGTCACCTGTTGAAATGTTGCTTCCTCTAGTCCGGATTGACGGAACTCTGCAAGAATGGCTCTCAGGAAACCCTGTTCCAGGATAGAGGAATTCCTTAAAGGAAATGAAGAGATATAAATTCTTAAGAGGCTGTACCACCAGCCCCAAGGAAAGCCAAAACTTCCCTATAGCTTTAGAAAAAAATAGAAAACACTGGGAAATATCTTCTATATCATTGGTCAAAGTTCCTCACTTTCCCCAGTCTCAAGTTGACAGACAATGCTCCTTTGGAAGTGGGGGAATACAGCGGCTGACGACTTCTGGAAATATACTTGTACCAAAATTAAAATAAACTCCCATTCAGTTGGTGAAGTAGCTGCTTCTTATTCCCGAAACACCTGTTTAATTCCTTGGGACAGGGTCTCATTGGGCAGTGCAGACTGGAACTCACTAAGCATCCTGGGCTAGTCTTAAACTTGTGGCAATCCTCTTGCTCCAGCTGGATGTGGTGGTTCACTTGGGAGGCTGGAGCAGGAGGATTGCCACAAGTTTAAGACTAGCCCAGGGTGCTTAGTGAGTTCCAGTCTGTACTACCCAGGCATGTAGAGAGTATAAATGCTACCTAAATGGCAAGTACTCACTTGTTATCTAAGGTACATACATTTGTCTCCTAACTGGCCTAGATTGGGTCCTTAGAAGGGCTGTATAGCTCAGTGAGCTAATACTCAGGAACAGAAGCACATGGCTTCTTCCCATATCCTCCCAGAGGTCCAGAAAGCAGAGCATCTTACTTGATAGCAGTGATGTACGATGATGAGAACATCTCATCCACGGCCTCCATTAAGTGAGCCACAGTGACCCGCCCTGGGGAGTCCTGCTTCTGGTGGGAAAGCTCGCAGATCTCTGTGGCCCGCCTACAGATGTCCAGACAGCGTCGTGCATCTCCAGAGAGGGCTGCTACCTACAAGAGGGAACATTTTATTTCTGAGGTCCATTTGCCATTTCAACCTAGGCAATGAACCAGTAAATTCTGTATTCAGCTAAAATGATAAGGAGGCTCTGAGAATGGTCTTATACCAAAGTTGAGGACCGTCTGGGAGCCTTGTGGAACCTGGGAATAAATCATTATGTCATGCCTGGGACACTACTCCTTTGGGCCAAATCATTGTCTTGGTTTTACAGATAACTCCATAGTGGAAAAGACAGAAATTCTCAGGTTGTTCATTCAGGAAATAAATGTGTAAAAAAGCCAAGACCAGAGGTTGAAGGAGTGTACCTATCAGTAGATAAGGCCATAGGAGGCCTCCCCCACAGTATATGGTAAACTTGGAAGAAAGGTTTTAATCGATGGCTAAGAAAACCAAGATTAAGAATGAGGGAGGAAAAGAGATGGCTCTGTGGCTGGATGTGGTGGTATGTATATGCCTCGGAGGCAGAGGCTAACCTGGTCTACATAGTGAGTTCCAGGCCAGTAAGGCTACATAGGGAGACCCTGTCTCAAAGCAAAGAGATACAATAAAATAAGGTTAAGGAACCATTCAGACTTTTGTTTCTTCATATTTATTTTCATGGAACTTTCTATACTGATCTTCATCCCAGAGCTCATAGCACAGAGCCTCACACACACAGCAGGTCTGATGGTTTGAATGAGGATGTTTTCCATAGGCTCCTGAGTATTTGGACATTTTGTCCCCAGTTGGTGGCACTGTTTACAGATGTCTTAGAAGGTGTAGCCATGCTGGAGGAAGCAGGTCACTGGGAGGTGAGCTTAGAGAGTTCTTAAGCCTTACTGGATGTCCAGTTGCTCTCTTGCTTCCTGTGCCTGCTTGAAGATGTGAGTGCTCTCCTTTCTGCCCCAGCCACCTCCTGCCATGATGGACTGTAATTCCCCTGGAATTGTAACCTCAAACTCTTCTTTCTATAAGTTGCTTTGGTCAGTGTTTCTATTACAGCAACAGAAAAGTAACTAATACAGCAGGTGCTCAGTAAGAACTTGTTGACTAGGGGCTGGAAAGATGGCTCAGTGGTTAAGAACACTGGCTGTTCTTGAAGAAGACCTGGGTTCAAATCCCAGCACTCATATGACAAGCTAACAACTGTCCATAGCTCCAGTCCCAGGGGATCTGACAGCCTCTTCTGACCTCCGTGGGCATTGCATAACATGGGCGCACTTACCTACATGCAGGCAATTGCATACACATACACATAAAATAAGAATAAAAAATATTTAAAAAAAAAGAACTTTGTTGACTGGCTCATGGGTTTAGTAAGTTCTCTAAAGGTAACTTACCTTCCTGGCTACTAACTGGATAGCATCATCCTCAAAGGCCTTTAGATGCTTGAGACGGGACACTAAGATCTCTTTCAGTTGGCTGTGAGAATAAGGTGTGAAGGACATCCTGGTAAGGCCCTGGGGAGCCAAGATGACAGAGGAAGAACTTAAGCCCCTTGACTGTCCAGGTCAAAAATCACCCTCAGTCCCAAGTCTGATTCTCAAGTTCCACGTAATAATCTGCACATTTCTTCCCAAGGCTACAGCTCCTTCCAGTTGTTGTCATTACTGACAGGACCCCGCAGGACAGTACCTCAAACTATTTTCTTCTTTTATTTTAAAAACTTGTATTCTATTAGAATGAGTAGATAGAAGCAGAGAGTGCTCTGGGCCCGCACAGCTCCTGCCTTCCCTTAGCTTGTTCTTCATGGCTTGATAATGTTTCCTGCCAAACCTCAAGGCCCATGAAGGCAGCCTTGCATAGGAAGCAGAGTTCCAAGGCATGGTATTTACAGAAAACTGCAATGTTTTTTCATTCTAATAGAGACATCATAAACATAGCTGTATTTCCTAGTCTTCTTACCAGTCGACTTGACACGCGGTTCATCATGATCCGTTCTGGTAGATCCATGGTGTTGGCAATGGTTAGGACTACTAGCCGGGCCCCCTTGTGAGTGGGCCAGTCAAAGAGATTGTACATTACGTCTTGTTTGTGGGTCCAAAGAAGGTCAAGCTACCAGGGAAGGCAGATACACATGATCAGAGAGACTGAGCATGGTGCCCAAGTTGCCCACATTCTACTACCAAGGTGGATGCAAGGAAGCCAGCATTCACTCCCACCCACCCACTCACCCATCCACCCACCCTCCCACCCACCATCTGCTCCTGGGACAGCACAGGCCTGTAACTATTCCTTCCCTTGTGTTCCAGAGGCACCTTACCTCATCCACAAGGAGGACAGTGGTCTCCCGCAGGGACCCCCGGCTGCAGAATCGCTTTGCCAGCAGGTCTGCTGCATGGTTAGCCGTTGCCTTCTGGCCTGTCAGCTTCTGCACGGGGGGAAAGCAGTTGGAGCCCACCCCCACCTCCTCCTCAGCTTCTAGTACAGTCTATAAAAGAAGCTACTCAGTTTCCTAATCCTCTCTTCTCACTCTAGCCCTCCACCTGGAGACATTGCCTGTTCCAAGGTAACAATTAACTAAAGAACAAGGCCTACCTCCTATTCTAGGAGGCTCCCTGGTCCCTTGTGAGCTGGTGGTTGCATCTATGTTGGCATGTCTTGGTGTGTGTATAGCCAGTCAATATTTAGTTCCTAGACCAAGGTCTTTGAGGCTAAGAATTTTGTTTTTACCTTTCCCACCCCTGCACAAAGAACAATGCCTGGTATCCCATCAGTGTGTGAAAAAATTAAGCCTTTCCTTTTCCATGTGATTCTTAGGACTATTTTCCAAAATCCCAAACAGCTTTCTCACCTGCAAGATCTGCACATAGACTTGGTGGGGCTCCGTCAGCTTCATGCCATTGACCTCAACGTATTGAAAGGGAGGTACATCATTTGTCTGGGCTGCCTTCTGCAAGCAGCGTATGACCTCGTGCACAGTGGCAGTCTTTCCTGTCCCAGGGACCCCAGAGATGTACATACACCTAGAGCAATATCAAAATACTCACAGGCTAGGCCCATGCTAGTCACATCATATTAAGACCAAGACCCCTGAGATATGGAAGTGGAAACAGCAACGACCACCTTAGGAAACCAGTCAGTGTTGGACTTGTTTAGACAGAATCCTCCATTCTATAAGCAGATGTATGCAAACTGACCACCCAAAGCTCAGAACCCCACACTCAACTCGTTTTAATAAAAAAGACAATCTCATGAAGCTCAAGTTCGCCTTGAATTCACTATATAGCCAAGAATGACCTTGAACTCCTGATCCTCCTGCCTCCACCTTACCACCATACCTAGCTTATGTGATGTTGGGAGATCAAATGCAGCATCTAGTATGTGTTGGCAAGCACCCTACCAACTGAGGTACATCCTCATGAGTTTATATTTCTGAAAGGCAAAATTCCACTCTTTTAGGTAAAAGCTGCTTCAGTTGCTCTGGATTTCAGCCTATCTTCCCCACAGCCTCTTCCCAGAACTACCTGCCCGCCCAGTATTACTCACCCTCCAGTCCCGTCAAGAAGCTTGCTTTCCACAAAGTTGTAGATGTTTTGGAACTCCTGCTCCCGACAGGGAAGAGACTCAGGCACAGCAGAAACATGTAGTCTACAATTAGTGGTAGATGGAAGAAAAGGAGGACTTTAGAAGCCTTTTTCCATCTACATGATAATAAATGGAAACTTCAGCATAAAAGCAAGGGAATGCTTTTCTCAAATCTAAATCTCTCCATGGGCCTTAGCACAACAACCCTTTTGCCAGCCAATTAACTTGTGAGGGCCTAATCCTACTAGTTTCCAAGTATCTTGACTTCTGACAGGATCTAGATTCATGCAGCTTGAAAAAAATCTCCACTTAGTCCTAAAGGGCCCTGCAACTAAGCGGTACCGTGGCCAGAAATCACTTCCCATTGTTGAAATGATAGTACCACCTGGGAGGTATCTCCCAGAGTCCTTCTGCCTTAGCTCAGCCAGCTGCTACTGTCTCTTTCTGACCTGGAACTCATATGTGACCAAGCTGGGCTCCAATTCACAGTGATCCAAGAGCCAGGATTTAAAGGTGTACACTATCATACCTGCCCCTATCACCACCACTTTGGTCTTTTTTGAGACAGGGACTCCCTGTAACCCCAGCTGGCCTCGAACTCACAGAGATCTGCCTGCCCCTGCCTCCCAGTGCTGGAATAAAGGCATGCACCACCATGCCCGGCTTTTGTTTTTCTTTCTGAGTACTTGTTTTAGTCTTCTGTCAGCATGCACACCAGCAACTGCATAACATTCACAGAACCCACCCCATTTTATTGACGAGAAGTCTTCATCACTCCTGTCTATCTGAGAGGGGGGTTTCTGGGCAACATTACCTCAGTCGGGCCTCCTCAAGCATGCTAGATGGCTCTTGGGCAGCAAGGCTTCGGCTGCGGATCTGAGGAGTAGCATGGTGAGGCATTCTAGGATTAGGCTGTAGTCAAAGAGAAGAATATGATGTTTATAATAGAACAAAGTAAACATCCACAACCCAGCATCCTAGTAAAAGGAAGGGGGTGGTAACTCCTCATTTCCCACCTATATGAAGTACAATTCATCCCGCTACCTCACATCACATGATCATTTTGTTTACAGTCCAAACATGACTCCTGGAGGCCATAAAGATGGTTCAGTGGTTAAGAGCACTAGCTGCTCTTGCAGAAGATGCAGGTTTGAGCCCCAACGTCTACACTGTAGCTAATAACCACTTGTAACTCTAGTTCCAAGGGATCTGACACAGGCATCGCATGCACATGGCACACTTACATACATGCAGGCAAAATACTCGCATACATAAAATAAGAGGGCACAAGATTCCCTGGAATTGGACTTGCAGATAGTTTTTGACTGCCATGTGGATGATGGGAGTCAAACCTCACCAAGAGCAGCCAGTGCCCCTAACTGCTGAGCAATCTTTCTAGCCTCTCCTTTTTGTTTTTTTGGTCTTTTCAAGACAGGATTTCCCTGTAGCCCCAGCTGGCCTCAGTCTCACAGAGATTCACCTGTCTCGGCCTCCCAAATGCTAGAACTAAAGGTATATGTGACCTTGCCCAGCCAGCCACTCCTTTATAGGAAAAATAAATTATTTTTTATTTGGTCTTTTTGAGACAGGGTGTCCCAGTACCCCACCTGACCTAAACTTGCAGAGATCCACCTGCCTCTGCCTTCTGAGTGCTGAGATTAAAGACTGGGAAGCAGAGGCAGGTGGATCTCTATGAGTTCAAGGCCAGCCTGATCTACATAGTGAGTTCCAGGCCAGCTGGGGCTATGGGAGACCTTGTCTCAAAAAGGCAAAAAGAAATACGGGCCAAACCTTGACTCCAGAATTCCACAATCCACAACCCAATACTTGAAAAACACCTCAGCAGATTTTTTTCTACTCCAACTCCCTGGGTCATTGTTCCCACTCACAAGCAGATTCTTTCTCATTGGCTAGTTTAAAAGGCCTTCTGTCTATTAACTATGCAACATAAGACCTTATAGGGAGTGTCCAGAACTCTCATAGACTTCTTACCTTTTAACTTACATTCCCAGGACCCTACAGCCTGTTTTTCAGGTGGGACCCAGGAGATGCAAACAAATCAGAACAGGGAGCTTTTTGGACCTTGACTTGAGGAATTCCAAGAGCTAGTGTTCACCAAGCGAAATGCAAACACCAGGAGTCAGTGTTTGTATTTCCCTCAGGAGTCTGGGCTCTTGGCCATTTGACTCTGGCCCTCAAGAGGAACTTGAACTCAAATCACCCTTGAGCAAGGTGTGGTTGCACAACTTGGATTTCTAGCACTGAGGCAGGAAGATCCTGAGCCTGGGTCCAGCAAGATGTTATCTCAAAAACAAAACAAAATAAAACTTAGGTCTGTTCCTCTGTAGAGGGACAGCTTTGAATATCAGACCTGTAACATTCAGAATCCACCTGTTACCAATCCTTTATGCTACAGGAGGGACACAGCACTGGAAAACAAACCTAAAAGAACCTTACGGTTTTCTTTGGTTTCTTGGAGGGGGTCTGCATAGAAGGCTTTGGGGTCGTTTGCAGGTCCCTGGACTGGCATCAGGGATTTCTCTTTGGAAGGGAGGGAATACAATCATCTTCCTCCTCACTGCTGGAGTCTGACCCCTCTGCTGGGGGTTTGAACTGTTCCTCTTCTTGGTCATTTTTATTATGCTCTAGAAATCTGAGTGGTAGAGACAAATTATATTGTTATTCAGTGTTCAAGCCTTAATAAGAACTATGAAAGTGTGAATTAGAATTATACTGTTTTCTACCTCATGGGCACATGATGAATTAGGAATGTTAAACAACCTCCCCAAACTTCAGATTCAGAAGCCCAAATTCAAACTGAGGTCTATCAAAATTAAAGTTAACACTTTTAAGCACCCTACTCTCTCCTACATGTCTTGCTATAGTGATGGAGCCATGAAGCCATATAAGTCCAAGGCAGCATTTCTTGTTCCTTCCAAACCATAACACTTGTGTAAAAGGTAACACAATTCCAGACATGCTAGGTAAAACTAAGTATCAACGCACTGGGAAACCACAAACAGAAGAGGCCCTAGGAACAAGATGTTAGCTATCAGAGATGGAGTTTGTTCTGCCTGTCAACAGGCGGTCTTACCGAAGCTGCTCCCTAATCCGATTCAAAGTCAACAGAGCACTCTTTCTGTGGACCTCACGGGAAGTACAGGTAGCTTCTTTGTGAGCTTCTGGTTCTTTTGTCTTCCTGCAAGTTATCACAGTGAGGTTATGGGAAGCAGTTTGGGGCACCAATGATCCATAGTGGGCACTGGGAACAGTCTGGAGGTCTCACTGGGTCCTATTCTTTTTATGCTGCCTTGGAAAGAGTTAATCAAACTTTGCTAAGCTCATCATTGCAGCTTATCTCAAACCTAGAGATTAAAGTCTGTTTAGCACTTACCATTTAAACCATCCTTCTGTCACTGTAGCCCAGAAGGTACTAATCTCGGGCAGAATTTTTATCCCCTTTGTATTTCTGCTACTTTCAACCCAGCTCAAAGTTAGCAGAAATACAGTCTGTGTAAAGCATTTAAGTATTGGGTAACTTAGTATAGGCCAGGTATTGGAAATTTCTAGCTAGGAAACATTGAAATGTACACAATTTCTAGTGCATCACATATTTATTTATACAACTCATTATTTATAAATACTATTTGATATACAACTGCAAGGTTTGCTTTAGTTTTTATTATCTTTTACTGTGTTTTAGAGTAGATTCCATTTAAGAGAAACCATCTGATTTTAAAAAATGATCACTAAACTGTGGCAAAAAGCATAGCCAACAAATGAAATCCAAGACTGAACCAATGCAGTTATGAAAAGTATTTTGCTATAAAAAGCATTTTTCTTCTCTTTGTTTAAGACAGAGAAGGTTACTATATAGGTTAGGCTGACCTCAAACTCACATCAATCTTTCTGTCTCAGCCTCCCAAGGGCTGGGTTGTAGGGACAAGCCACCACACCCAACTTCACAGAATATTTAAAAACAGATTCCTGGGGGCTAGAGAGATGGCTCAACGGTTAAGAGCACTGGCTGTTCTTGCAGAGGACCTAGGGTTCGGTTCCCAGGACCCAAATGGCAGGTAACAACTATCTGTATCTCCAGTTCCAGGGGAATCTGACCACTTCTGACCTCCATAGGCACTGCATGTGCATGCAGTAAAAACACACACACACAAAATAAATAAAAGTCTTAAAAAAAAAAGAGAGAGAGAAATTCCTGGGTCCAAGCTTACTAGATCCAGAAGGGACTCAGAAATCTTTATTTGGAAAAGAACTTCAGAGATTCTCTGAGTCTGATTAGAAGAGGATTATAGCTCTAAGTTTTTCCCATACAACACATTTCATTTCATGTGAAAGATTTCAAACTGCTCCGTGGGATGGGGCAATGTTCCTGCTTACCTCCTTCTGTTTTCTGGTTTCAGAATCACAGGAGGCACCACTGAGATCCTCAAGCTGCCCTTGATAGGGCTAAGTGCTCCTTTTACATTCATTTCTGTGGTCTTCACAACTGGGACTCGTGTTCTCAGAATCCTGTTGCATGCAGGTGAAGACTTCCTGATAGCCTTGGCACAGAAGGGTTGAACCTGTTTATTTTTTTCTGGAGTTTTCAAAGCTGAAGAGATCTTGATTTCACCCAGCTGAGATCTTTTAGAAGGTGAAGCAGTCTCAGAGAAGGCTGTTTTTCGTTTAGATTTTCTTGAAGAATCCAAGGAGCCACACAAAGTCTGCTGGGATAGTTTAGTGTTAGGTGTCCGGGGAAAGCCTAAGTCCAAGAGACATCACAAGCATGTGAGAGCCATATTTGTAACACAAGTTACACAAAGACAGAAGCTATCCGTACTTTGATTTATTCTACTTTCCTCTTCTAGACCAAGTGGCTCTAATTACTGTCTGTCTTCCTCTTAAGTTTCATGAGTGACTTTCCTAGATAGAACATACATGATTTTTCTTTTTATTTATTTCTATCTTTGGGCACTAGGGATTGAACCCAGGGTCTACCATTGAGTTGCACCTACAACACCTAGAAATTGACTTTCTTTTTTTTTTTTTTTAATTTCATGTGTATGCATGTAGGTAAGTGCACCCGTGTCATGCAATGCCAGCAGAGAACAGAAGAGGCTGTCAGATCCCCTGGAACTGAAGTTACGGACGGTTGTCAGCTGCCATGTGGGTGCTGGGATTTGAACCCGGGTCTTCTGCAAGAGCAGTCAGTGTTCTTAACTGATGAGCCATCTCTCCAGCCCCAGAAATTGATTTCTAAGTCAGCTTTTATGGATACTCAGTAAACAAAGTTTTCTGAAACGATGTTCCCAAAGAGCAGTTATTAACTAAGGGTAGCACTTCCAATTCAAAAGGCATTTGAAGAAATTCATAGTAAATGACATCACCAAGCCAGACCAAGCTCAAAGTTGTTTTTTTTTTTTTTTTTTGAAATAAGGTCTCCCTGAATCCTAGCTGGCCTGGAACTTGCTATGTAGACTAGGCTAGCCTCGATCACACAGAGATCTGCCTGCCTCCACCTCCTGGGTGATGGAATTAAAGGCCTCCACCACGCCTGGCTTTGTTTTTGTTTTTTAAAACCAAGATTGTATTTGCTCACAAAGAGAGGAGGGATCCCTGAGGACAATCATTACATATGGATCCATTCCACTCTTGCAAGGACTATGAGAGCCAAAGACCATAGGCCTTCATAGATATTAACTAAGCGATTAAAAAAGCACTATATAGCCGGTCATGGTGGTGCACACCTTTAATCCCAGCACTTGGAAGGCAGAGGCAGGCAGATCTTTGTTGAGTTCAAGGCCAGCCTGGTCTACATAGTGAGTTCCACGCCAGCTGGGGCTACAGGAAGACCATGTCTCAAAAAGACCAAAAAAAAAAAAAAAAAAAAAAAAAAAAAAAAAAAAAAATCACTGTATATGCTAGGTGCTGGGAAGAAGATGAATGAGATTCAACCTCCACAGGACACACTGATCTAACTGGGGAGATGACAGGCAGGAGTGCCTACAGCATGAGGCAGCTTAAGTGTCTTAAAGTGTAGCTAGCTTGTCGCACGGTATGTGAGACAGGTACAGACAGTGCTTGGAGGGTCATCTAGTGTCTGTGTGAGAATCATTAGGGTGGCTGTATTCACAATCATCCAAAAACCATAAACATCTAGATGTCTTTTACCGGGCATAAATAAGGCATGGAAAATTCATGCAACAGAGCATTACATACAAAGGAACAAATTACTGACAAATGTGACAATATGGATGACTCTCAAATGCAAGAAGCTAAGAGAAAAGAGTCAGTAAGACTACAGACTGTGATTCCAACTATATGACAACCCAGAGAAGGCCAACCACATCACTGGGCAGCAGAGGCTGGAAGGGTAGGAAGGACTGGTTTATTACAAAGGTGCACAAAAACATTCTGGGGTAAAACTGTTCTACATTTAGATTATAATACTGGTTCTATATACAAAATACAGATACACTGCACATAATAAATAAATTACCTTCTGGCTAGATGTGTGCTGTATATAAGAAATAAAATTTTAATCCTAGCATTTTGAGGCAGAGGCAGGTGGATCTCTGTGAGATCATGGTTGCCTGGTCTACTGTGGAGAGCAGAGAAAGGAGGGTCATTGGTGTTTGCTGGCCACCAGTCCAGGTGCAGGTTCTGTAAAAGGCTGTGTCTCAAGGGGCTCAGATAGTGAACAGCAGAACAGGACATTAATACCCTTTCTCTGGCCTCAATGAGCACAATTGTACACAGGTGTGTGCATATAGCATGGATGTGGGGGGCAGAGGGTGGCCTAAAATTTAATATAAACAATAACTGCCCCTAATTCCAGTTCCAGGGGATCTGGTGCCCTCTTCTAACCTCTGTGGGCATTGCACGACAAATGCACTTAAATACATTCAGGCAATATACTCATAAATATAAAAAATAATAAATTTTTTTAAAAAAAGAAACTATCCTCAATAATTGATTTCAGAAGAAAACTAATGAAAGCAGCTACCTGCTGTATTCTAAAGGCATAAAGAATCACATATAAAATTTAAGCTTTACTTGGTTGAGTTTTCTGTTGGTAGCCACATTATAGCAAGAGTGGAACCTATCAGGACTGCCCCTGGGAACCAGAGCTCTTTCTGAACAACAGGTACAATTGTGGAATGAGAAGGACCCTGTGGCTCGGATCAGAAATATTAGTAGAGTAAGAGTTTTCTTTTTTTTGAGACAGAGTCTTGCTAGGTAGTCTCAGGTGGCCTAGCACTCACCATGTAAAACAGACTGGTCTTGAACTAACAGTTCTTCCATCTTTGACTCCCAATACTATTAAATATATAGGCATGCCCAGCTAAGAGTTTTAAGATATTTGCATTTCTTAACTCTTCCACTAAGGATCTAGAAGCAGTATCATCTCTGTAGCAGAGTACCCATAGAAACAGCTGATTTCAGGGCTCAGCATCGCTAATCCCTAGGAACATACAAATCAAATCAGTGATGACACACAGAAAAATCCAGAGGACATTTTGCAAAGTGAAGTAAGTCAGGCACAGACAAAGTAGCATATGACCTCACTTTTACATGTGGAATCTGAAAAAATTTGAGCTTGTAGAGGTGGGGGGTAGAATGATTATGGGGGGTGGGGGTGGGGCAGAAATGGAATGGGCAATTGTTGGCCAAAGCATACAATGTTTTTGCTAGACAGGGGAATAACACTTGAGATCTACTGCCCAGCAGTAACTTTAGTCAATAATAATGTGCTTCATATGTCCAAGTATATTTCAAATATGAAGAGAGGTATAGAATATATTAATTAATCTAATCACTCCACATTGTATAGCGTCCATAGAAAGATGAATGGATAAATAATATGTGATGTATACACACGCTGGCATATTGTTTAGCCTTAAAAAGAAAAGAAATTGGGCTGGAAAGACGGCTCAACAGTAAAGAGCACTAGCTGTTTTTGCAGATGACAAGGGTTCAGTTTCTAGCACCCATACAGTGGCTAACAACCACCCATAACTCCAGTTTCAGGGACTCTGGTGCCCTCTTTTAGCCTCTGAGGTTATTGCATGACATGGATATACTTACATAATGCAGGCAAAACACTTACATACAATAAAGTAAAATAAAATATAAAAAAGGAAATTACAGTTTTAATATGATGACACAGTTACCCACGGTTGTCCTATCACTCAGGAGGCTGAAGGAGGATCATGAACTTGAGGCCAGTCTGGGCTTACAGCAAAACCCTGTCTCAAAGACCCCAAAAGAGAAAAAGGAAACGCTGACACATGCTACTACATGGGTGAACTTTAAGGACCTTATGAGAACGAAAACAAAGCAGCCACATAGCATTGGTTCCACTTTTTCCAGAGTCTAGGGAAAGGGGTAGGACTCAGGATGGTTTAATGGAACAGAAGTTTAGATTTAGGGCTGGAGAGATGGCTCAGAGGTTAAAAGCACTTACTGCTCTTACAGAGGACCAGAGTTCAGTTCCTAGGACTGACATCAGGCAGCACACAACTGCCTATTATTTCCAGCTCTAAGGGATCCACCACCCTGTTCTGGTACCTGCAGGCACCCGCAAACACAAGGCACACGCAAACATACACAAATTTTTAAAGTTTAACGACAGTGGTGATTGCACAAGAACAGGACTATCTTCAATGCCACTCTGAAATGGCAAAATTCATGCTATGTGTATTTCAACATGTGTCCAATCAATAACTGATCCATTGCCTCACTATCCCAGCACTGTTGCATTAATATTTCTACTGCATTCCTTTAGCTGCGGCACCACCCCCTGTGACCCGCTCCTCACTTACTGCCGAGCTCCAGTCGCTTCCTTGCACTGGGGGTGACAGGGTGAGTAGGAGTTTGGCGAGATTTGGAGGCAGAGTGACTTGATTCAATCCTTTTGATCACATGTTCTGCTTTGGTTAAAGAAGGGCTTTCTGCATTCTTAATCTGGGCCTTCACAGGTTTCTCACATGCAGGGCTGCCTTTCACCTTCCTCAGCTCCGCAAGGACTTCTGGTGACAGTGGCTTGAATGTCTTTTCATTCCAAGATAGTTTCACAAACAGTGTCTCATTTTTCTTCAAATCCGTAGGGATCTCTTCATCTGGGGCTAAAGCTACTACCTGAATTAGGAAGTAGAGATGAATAGGAAAAGATTTTAGACAACATAGCCAAGACAGACTGTTGGAGCTGTGATGAAAACTGATTTAAGCCCCATCTGTACCTGGAATGCGACCTTTGATATAGAAAAAGACAGAGACATCGCACAGCATTTACCCACTCATGAAAAGCCTGAGGCTAACAAAATGTGACTTCTTCCTCTGCTCTTTTTTAAAGACTTGTTATTTTTATTTATGTGAGTGAATGCCACATGTCTGCAGGTGCCCTAAAGGCCAAAAGGTGTCAGACTCCTTGGAGCTTCCTGACAGAGGCTGAGAACTGAACTTGGGTCATTTAGAAGAGCAGTAGATCTTTTTAACCACTGAGCCATCTCTCCAGTCCTCCCTCCTTTTTCCCCCCTTAATGTTTGCTGGCCTCACCTTTTTTTTTTCTTTCTTTATAAAGATAGTGCCTGCCTTAAGTAGCCCATGATGGTCTCTAGTTCCCCATTTAGCTGAGCATATCCTTGAACTGCTTGCTGATCCTCCTAACTTGACTTCCTGAGTGCTGGCATATGCCACTATGCCAAGTTCATGCAGTGCTGGGGATTGAACCCAGGACATGCATGCTAGATAAGAACCAAATGCTACATCTCTAGCCTGGTTTCCTCTCTTAATTCCTTTCATCCTAGTTCAAGGACACATTATCTCGCTGCTGGATTATTTCCACATTTTCTCAAGCTGGTATCTATATTCTTGCTTTTTCTAGTCTGTTCACCTAGGCTAATCTCCAACAAAACTCTCAATACTCTCTGGAGCCCATGCTGCTGCAAGATCTGATCCACTTCACCTCCAGAATGCCCACCATTCCACAAATGGTCTTGTATCACTACCAAAGTCCCACCTATTACCAATAGATTATACCTCTTCTCTGCCCATCCAAATCCACCTATCCTGTTGCTTCAACATTTTTTTAGAGACTGGCCTCCAAACTCACAAAGATCTGCCTGTCTTTGCCACCAGAGTGCTGTGATTAAAGGTGTGTGACATCTACCTTTCCTTTTTCACTCATTTAACCCAGATATAGTGACTCCAGACCAAGTCTCTCTAGCCAACCATTAAACTAACTACCCAACCACCTAAGGCCATACTTCACAGTCGTCTATCCCAATTTAGGAACATAAAATAACTCAGGAAGAAGCTGTATTTAATCTTCAAACCAGTGTCCACTTCAGCCTACAAACCAGCAGCTCATTAGACCCTGATTACAAAAATCCCATAACATAAATTTATCTATGGCAAGTAGCACCCTTTGCTCTGAGTTATTTGAGGTGAAGTCCTCATTTTACAAAGCATTCTCAGCCTCATAACAGTTTCTGCCTGCCATCACTGTAGCTAAATATAATATTCCACTGAGAACATTTGCTAATTCTGCTCTTCCCTCAGGTCATAGCCCAAATGTCATTTCCTCCAGAAGGCTAATGCCTGCTCTGTGCTCTCAATATTTGTGGCGATGAGACAAGCAGGCAAACAGAGAAGATAAGGCAAAATTCAAATTAGAGCCAGTAATTACTTCTTAGGTCATGTAGTATAGGAGCTTCAGACAGAAGTTGGGATCCAAGCACCACCTACCCGTGCAGGGCCAATGATGGTCTCAACACAAATGTTGTTATCACAGCCAGGGTGCTCATACCAGAATATCTCCTGTGCAGCAGGCTTCCGGCCTAACAAATGCCTTTTAGAGACAGGAACCTCAGAGAATCGGACAAACCACTGTACTCGAGCACAGTTCTTGAAATGAGATTTAGACTCTAGGAGGATCAGGTAGAAAGGGGAAAATGGGAAGATTAAATAGGAAGGCAAAAAAAAAGAGCAATGACATTCCACCGAGTACCTCCTATGCGCACAATATATATTATCTTTAATCACCATCAGAACTCTCAAAGGTAGTACTATACATACCTACCCTTTAGGCAAAGAATTCCAGTGTCAGGGACATCCCACAATTTGCCAATGATCAAAGAACCAATCAGTAGCAAACTGACTGCACCCACAACTAAGCTCTATATGCTGAACTCCTTTAACAGTGTATCAGAACATAGACATTTTAAAAGGGATTGGAGAACTACTCCAACCACAGGCACTTAAAGTTGTCTATCCCACAAAGTAATGATTATAAAGAGAGCATCAGCTACGTGTGGTGTTTCACACCTTAACCCTAGCACTTGGGAGGTGAGGGCAGGAGGATCATGAATTCAAGGTAATTCTTGGGCTACACAAGGCTTTGCCTCAAAACAAAATCAAAGTCCCAGGCCAGAGAGGAGGCTCAGCCTGACAAACTTGAGTTTGAGTCCCTGAACCCACATGGTGGAAAGAGACCTCCAAAAGTCACCCTGATTTCCACATGTGTGCGCGCACACACACAGTAAACAAATATAAAAAACAAAACAAAGGGCTGGGCATGGTGGTGCACGCCTTTAATCCCAGCACTTGGTAGGCAGAGGCAGGCAGATCTCTGTGAGTTCAAGGTCAGCCTGGTCTACATAGTGAGTTCCAGGACAGCTGGGGCTACAGGGAGACCCTGTCTCAAAAAGACCCCCCCCCAAAAAAAACACAAAAAACAAAACAAAGGTCCCAATAAGACTTCAACCGGTAACTGTCAAGATGAGTTCTGACAAACACAGTATCTTTAGCTTTATGATCCTAATTTCTCATTACTATCATATTATGCTAGCATTAACTCTAGATGATATGTGCTTTCAATAATATCATCACCCTCCAGCTTTACTCCTGCAATCTTTACACAAAGCCCAATTCCTGCTGATGAGCTCCCTCTAGTGGACAGTGTTTTGATGAGTTTTTTGTTGGTTTTCCTTTCCCATGCCTTCCTCAACTACATCCCTAGGGAGAGGTGATTCTGGGTAGTTTCAACTTGCTCTTTTGCTTCTTAATCCTCCCTCTGGAGTTCTGCCCCATTCCCACCTTCCTGTGTGCTCCAGAGCTCAAAGCTCCGCACATTACAAGTGGCTGTGCATGGGGACTTCTAAGTTTTAGATGGTCTCACTCACTAGGGTGGCCCCTGAATTCGGGATTATAGGTATGCATCATGAAGCACACCATTCTTCTAATCACACACACATCTCTGTGGGAAAAATACCTAAAATGCTTGTTTTCTGGAGTGAACACAAGCTGACACATCTTCCTAATACAATTTACCTCTTCTCTTCTTGTAAAGAAATTGCACTTGTAAAATTTTATACCAACTTCCCCATACCAAAATTAAAAAGCATGTGCTCACGTGCCCAATTCTTTTTCCCTTTTCCCTAACTCATCGTCTTTCTCTATCTACTCCCCCCGCGCCCCAACCCCCATCCTGCACTCATGGACACATTCTTACGCACTCCTATAAAGAATGGAAAAGCTAAATTTTTGGGCCCTGTCTGTTTTATCCAACACTGCTCTGGTTAGTGAAGCAGCTAACTTGTGACCCACCTCACAGCCCAGGGTGCCTTGCCTCTCTATACAGAGGACTCAGCAGCTTCCCCACTAGCCCAGCTATATCATTCCAAGCAAGACACAGCTCTCATTTCAGCCCCAAACTCACCATCTTCAAATAACTCAATTAGTTTAGCAACATAGGGCATCTCATCATCATCCCCTTCAATCAGCACAAACTGTCCAACCTTGATATAAATCTCAGTGGAATAACCTTCAGTTTTCAGGCATATTTCTCTAGAAAGTAACAAAGAAACATGTTACGGTAATCTCAAGGTGGGAAAAGCTCTTTAGAATTTGACAAAAGAGACTGTTCTTGAATTGGAGAATCCCCTGAAATGATTTTTCTATGTTCTTTAACAGTGTACCTAGTATGGGTACACACACAAAATGGGGCCAATGAATTGTTTTAGCATAAATCATATAATCCTTAACTCCTCTTAGTTAATAACAAAGAACAAAGGATTCTTGAGACTGGAAAACTCCCTAGCCCTTGACAGTTTTGACACTGGAGCACCCATGTAAAAAGCCAGGCCAGTATGGCAGCTGCCTGTGACTCACCTGGGAAGCAAACACAAGGGATTCCTGAGGCAAGCTTGCTAGCTAGACTACCCTTTTGGAGAGCTCTTGGTTCATCCAGAGTCCCTGCCTCAGTAAATAAAGTATAGGGCAACTGAGGAGGACACTTGACAAACTTCAGGCCTCCACATACACATTCATCCACCCACACATATGCACATACACGAAAATCATACACCCATACAGGAACAAAAAAAACAGTTAAACTGGGAAGGACACAGCACCAACATCTTTCATCTTTAAGTTTCAAACAATCACCTTAAGTAGATATGACATTATAGAACATATCAAATTTTACTAACCTACCACAACTTAGCATCATCACTATTTACAGTACTATCTTCTTGAATCACAACATAAAAACTCTCCTTACAAACAATTCATATTGAGCTGGAAAGATGGCTCAGCAGTTAAGAACGCTTGCTGTTCTTCCAGAGGACCTGGGTTCTATTCTCAGCACTCACATGACAGCTAATTGTCTGTAACTCCAGTTCCAGGGGATCCGATGCCCTCACCTGGTCTCCACAGGCTTTGTACAACTCACATACATGCAGGCAATATACTCATAGATATAAATAAAAATAATAAAATATTAAAAAACACAAACAATTCATATCTATTGTCTCTCAGGCCTCAATCTGTAGTAAGTAGAACAGTCTAGATACAATTTATTATAGTTTAAGCCTGAGAAGGTACATTTCTGGTCCAACCAAAGAGCTTCATCACTTACTTGTAGATCTGGTAGTGCTGCTTGCGATCCAGCAATGGCCTGCCAACCCATGAATAAGTTTGTCTGGTCTTCTGCCTTGTGAGATAAGATGGCATGGCCCTGATGATTATAAAACACGGTCAGTCCCTACCTTCATTGAGCTCAGCCTTTTTTTCCTGCCCCTGCCTCACTTTGATAATATGTTGTTATTGTTGTTTTTTTGGGGGGGCAGCAGAGGGGAATCAAGTTTTGTGAAGATTAAATAAGCAATTTAGCATCACCTATGCATATCATGTACTCTGCCTTATTTCATTGCACCCAGGGTGTACACGTACTTACTAGTAACAAAGCACAAAAGGTATGGAACATACTTCAAAGTGAAATGTCTTCAAATTCAGAAGAGGGGAAATACAAATGAAGTAGGGCTGGGGGGATGGCTCAGGCACTGGCTGCTTTTGCAGAGGACTGGGGATCAGTTCCCAGCACTCACATGGTGGCTCACAACTGTCCCTTAACTCCAGTTCCAAGGGATCTGACACCCTCTTCTGGCCTTACATACATGGCGCACTTAAAAGAGCCAAGAGGAATCACTGGAAACTACAGGACCAGATCTTGTGATTCACAGAAAGGCTTTGTAAGGATTCCTGAGTTGAATATTGAATAATCAATAGTCATTAATAAGATGGACTGGAATGAAGGAAAGGATAGAGGCAAAAATGTACAAGCAGTATTTGAGGGAACAGCAATGGGTTTTATCAAGTGTACCATTCTATTTACACATTAGAAAAAATTTACCAGGGATGCAAACTTAGCTCAGTTGATCAAGAGTTTGTTCTTTTAAGTACGAGGACCTAAGTTCAAGTCCCAAAACCTGGTGTTATGGCACACTCTTGTAATCCCAGCACTGGGGAGGCAGAGACATGTAAGGTGCCTGGGGCCCACTGGCCAGCCAGACTAGTCTACTTGGAAATTTCTAAGCCAATAAAAGACACTGTCTAAAAAAATAGAAAAGAACTCAAAAGTCTAAACTATTCTTTCTACAAAGGATTTGGACATTGTAATCTACTATTTCTAATAATAATCTCAATCTATTATCTTAGAACTAAGCAATTTCTAATAATAATAATAATTATGGATCTAATAATAATCTCAATCCATTATCTTAGAACTAAGCAACTTAAGGAACTGAAAAGATGGCTCAGTTTTTAAGAGCACTGTCTGGGGGCTGGAGAGATGGCTCAGTGGTTAAGAACACTGACTGTTCTTGTA